GATTAATAAGGAAAGAACAGAGAGAGAATTCTAAGAGCACTTAATTTGGTGCTCTAGAAAAATTGCTTTCCAAAGCCATGGAACTTCCATAAATAAATAAAATTGCTCTGTGTTTCAAAAATGGAAAGAGATGAAATGAGAGCTTGATTGGTAAATTTGTATTGCTGTAGAGAGATTTAGGGCTGTGCAGAGCAACCACAGCCCCTACCAATCATCCCCAAGGTAGCTGGTTTATCCAAGACATGAATGATATGGGTTTCAAGATCTCCATGAGACAAAACTAATAGAGTCTGAAGTACCGCTGTTTCAAGACCGAATGAATAAGCAAACCCTCTGGTTGGTAAAATGGAATCAAGTAGTTGCCACGGACTCCACTGCGTACAAGAGGCTCTTAATATAACAACCACTTCTTATAGTCCATTTTTGTGAAAGAACATATGACCCCAATATTGTTTCTCAAGCATCATATTAGCCATGTAACTAAAGTTTTCTAGCAAAATAAATTTCTCTATATGTGTGTGTGCGTGATAAACTAATAATAGATGAAATAATTTTGATTAATATACTCCATTCTTTGTTAAATAACTGATGTTGTATAAGATTATTTTGTTCACAAATAACAAATAAGTTTCACTTTTAACAAATCAATGCAAAATTTAAATGTTTTTTGGGCGAATGTTTTGTTGATATAAACACGTATATTGAATAGTGAAGGAATGAAAAAATGCATTTCATGAGAACAAAGAGAAAGTATACATGATATGTTGACTAATAAAATAATAATACAGACGCATACGTACATTTATATTTTAATTTTATACTAATACATATTATTGTAGTGAAGAAAAGAACGTTAATTTTTATAATTTAAAATTAAAAATATTTAGCACTTCTCAGGCATCCAGCTGCATAAGATGCCACTTATAAAACCGCTATTATCCTTTGGAGGAACTAACCATTCTGTATGAGCGTTTTGTCCTTTATTACAAAGTTTTTTGCAAGCTTCTTCGCAAATGGCGGGATCATGTTTTTTCACCATTTTCATACACTGATTCGGGATACAATGTTTGACACACATTTCTACATTGGTTGAATGAGAAATTTGTGCTGAAAACAGCATCATAAATACTGCTGCAATCATGAAAATGTTACATGTTTTTTTTCAAAGTTTGAGTCGCCATATGTGGTATGGTTTAGTTATTACAATTTTTTTTTCTTTTTTTTTTTAGAACTGTAATTAAGATGATTTGGTGATCAATGAGTTTTGGTGCTTTTTATAGTGAAACTTATTATATCCATTTTTAGCAGTTGTTTGTAATCTGTTTATTGTTTGTCACTTTCTCTGTCTTGAGATACATACACCGAATAAATGTTACAGAAATTAGCTGTGATTAACTTTTTTTAGTCGTCAAAACAACTTATTACTATGAGAAAACAATGAGTAGTCGTTCGTATAGCAAATCATAGCTTGCATATATCCAATGCCATTCTGGTTTATTTTATAACGTTCCAAATGTTGTTAATTAAGAACATTTACTTGTAACAGCATAAAAATTATTGAATTCTAATAATCTATGTGAATTGAATAATAACTCTTAATAAAAAGTTACAACTCCCAATCTAACTCAGTTAAGCTTAGTCAAAACATCTCTAAAGCTCAAAAGAGACATATAATCGTAGGATCTCGATCGCTAATGTCGTCTTATCTTATTGTTTTCTTGCCTTTTCCCATGTGATGCTAAAGAACTTGAACTGAGAACACTTCACACCAAAAATTCCTTAGTATTAAAAAAAAAAAAAATTGAAAACAGTCGAGTGACCCACAAATATGATACCCATACCATAAAACCCCATAGCAGGAACATGACTTGAATCCTACCCAAAGATTCTCCATTCCTCCCATGTGCTCATTCTTCTTTAGTTTTTGTTTTACTTCACCCTTTTTATATTAAAAAGTTCCTTTCTTCTTTGTTTATGTGTTCTCTAGATAACGTTGTAGGACTACTTTCGTTCCCTCAAAATTGATAAGATCGTATATAATTACACGGATCTGAACATGGCCACGTGAATATCTCAGTGTCAAGAAGTGGACTGAACAAGACTCTTAGTGCATTAACTAGGCAGCAACTACTTGAAATCTATGTTCAGGCGTAAAGTTGTGTTTAGCAAAAAATAAAAACTTCAAAATATTGCAAGCCCGAGAGTCCAAATACCAAAACCTCTATTTTTGAATCAGCATTATGGATTATTCACTCCCGCGCGCCGCAAATCGTTTAACTGATAATTTTTTAATTTCTTAGAATTTTGTTTGATCTTTTATTTTAGATTTTAACCACTTTGCATTTTCTTATCTCTTTGTCTCTTATTTTGAATAAAGTCAGTATAAATGTATGCTTTAAAATAGAACTATACAGTACGAACTAATTGAAAGTTGAATCCGAGATTTTCTTTTACGTCACGGTCGTCCCAATCCAATCGAACCGGTCCACATTGGTTTGAAAAGCACCGATAAATTAGTCGTATGCGTAGTTATGAATGTATTGGTTATAGACATTAATAGCTTTGATCATTATGAACAGTATAGTGAAAAGGAAGTATGTGGGATGGTCTAATTGAAAAAGTGATGATACATTGAAACTCATCACTACACAAACAATCAACATATCGCCTGTCAATGTCTTTTTGAATGTTTGGGGTTTTAGCTCTTTGATATTGAAGCCTGTCTTCTTTTTTTTTCTTCTTTCTTTTTCTTTTTAGAGATCACGTGAACGCTCAAAAATCTTGACCAGCAAATAAAATGGACCCCTTTTGATGTTCACACCCAGACCCCAACTTTATAAATTAGGTCAATCTAGCTCCCAAACTTTAATTATTTGTTTATTAACTTATTCCCATTTGAATAAGCACGTGATTTCAAGTTTGAGTATACAAGTAGAAGACTTAATTTCAGCAGTTTCCGAGATGATTAGCAAATAGGGAGAAATTTCATCAAACCCTAAGACAAATCTGATCTTTTGTTTCGCCCAAAGAAGAAAGAATTGCAAATGAAGCGATACGGTCTTGAAAATGGAGAATTACCCATGTGCTGTGAGAGATCGGTTTATAATTGAGAAGAAAACATAATAATTCTCGCACGGAGATATAATGAGAACTAAAATATTTTACACTCAACTAATTGTCAATAAATATATTTTAAGTCGGATGTAAAAAGAAAACTTGAAGCTAAAGTGAGAGAAGGTTAATATTGTCGACGAAACATGGAGAGAAGAGACTTCCAAAATCACTCACACATATCAAAGAATGATGACTTGTCTTGGTAGGTCCCTCATATTCGGATACATTCTCTTTTGAATTACGAATAATACAAGTGGATGTTTCTCGACCAACACGTCCAAAAACTAATTGATTTTTACTTAACAGACAAAAATGGATTCTCTGTTCACAGTACGTATTTCTGAAATTTTAATTAAATAATATGATATATTACACTGCCACGGATCCACAAGCGATCGATCATACTTCTTCAAGTCTCTGTTCGATCTATATCTGGTAAGACCTGAACATTCTTTATGTATTCGGTCAATTTAACAGCTTACAGATGCATGACTTTGATCAATATAATTGGCCTCGACAAATAAAAACTTAAATCTAAATCTAGGGTATAATACAATAATATAATACACTAATCTACTAGATTGTGTGTCATTATCTGAAAACAATGATGTCCAAAAATCTACTAGTGGATTGTGGATTAGATATTAAATAAAATCATGTCATGTTAAATTAAGGGTTTTGTGCAAAAAAACCCTCGAACTATATTATTTTTGCAAATTAAACCCTGAACTAAAAGATGTGCAAATCAATCCCCTTAAGTCAAAAGTCACCCGTTATATAGCCACTCCGTTATATCGGTCACGGAATATCAAAACGCATCGTTTTAGCTAAAAAACGTCATGCCATCTAAATATTAATAAAAAAAATTAGAACAAAAAAAGAACAAAACACGGTTTTCTCTCTCTCTTCTTCCTCTTCTCCTCTTATTTTCTTCTGGGGTTGTTTGTTTGAGATACAAATTTCAGATCTGGAAAATTTAACAATCATTATTAATTCATTACTTCCAGTCTATTAGGAATTGCTCGGTTCCTCTCTTATAAAGAATCATCAGCAAACGAATCTAATCAGTTGTGAGTTTTTGGCAGACATTAACTTTAAACAGTTGACCAATTTTCTAGAGAAAGAGATATGATGTTGATGATGGCTTATTCCTTGCACAAATCTGGGTTTTGTTTCAATTTTACTTTTTCCTTATAAAATCTGATTAGTCAATTTGAAAAAAAATAAAATTTGTAGACGTATAAATCAGGTTGTAATCCAATACAGTTTTCCCGGAAATTCTAAATTGAAATTCTAATTTTATATTTTTGCAAAATAATTTAAATTAATATTTTCAGCGTTTTATAAAATTTATGAAGAAAGTAATTGGAAAAGAGAGGAACAAAACTGTGTATTGTTTTCTGTTTCTGGGCAAATTTGTGTGTAGTTTCTAAGAGAGAAAACTGCATGTTTTTTATTTTCCGTTTGTTTTTTAACAGATAATAATATTGCCACATAGGCAATATAGAGTGTGGCTATATAGCGGGTGACTTTTGATTTCAGAGGATTAACTTGCACATCTTTTAGTTCAGGGTTTGATTTGCAAAAATAATATAGTTCAATTGTTTTTTTGCACAAAACCCTTAAATCAACTTAAGCCCATCTTTTTTATTGGTTTCCTTTTTTCACGAAAAGGCTTGTCGTTTTTCCTTTTTTTCGTTTCTTCCAGCAACTAAAAAGCTTATCTACTTGGAAATAATATGAATTTTTATATATACGCAATTATATTCGATATATATATTACAAAGCTTCAATTTCAGACCTAAGCCCATCTCTTTTGTTACGAATCTTATCTCTCTCTTTTTTTCTCTCTCCTCTTCTCTTCTCTTCTCACTTTGGTAGTGAAGATGGATATGTACAAAGATGATAGCTCACCATACTGTTATTTCCATCCAAAAGCAGAATATGTTGGAGTGTGTCCCCTCTGTTTGAACGAGAGGCTTCTGGTTTTAGCTTCAAAGCAGAGATCATCAAGAACCAAACACTCTTCCTCTTCACCAATCATCAGCCTCCCTAAGATCTTCGCCTTGAGCTCTCTCCTCAGTCGCCTCGATCTCCGTCACCACCGGAAATTCCATCCCTCCTCCGATCTCGACGTCTCCACAAGCCAAGAAGGTACACAATTTTCATATACTTCATAGTTCATACATATTCTTGTAGTAATCAACTTTAAGAACACCGTAATTCAAGAATCAAGATTTAGTTCCAATTGAGTATTTCTCCTCTTTTTTTCTGTTCATACATTGAAAATTTCCTTTTTTAAAAACAGAAGATTTTCAAATTCTTTCCCAAACAATATTAATTAATCTTTTATAGTAAGATATGTGTGGAATCATGAGATTATTTCATATTTTCACACTTACATCTACGAATTTTCGTTAAAATATACATTTTTGTCATACACATTTATATTTATATACATTTATGTTATACTCTTTTTTTTCCTACAGTAAAGTGTGCAAATATTATTATTTAAATCGGCCAGCTGAAATTTTGTTTTACTCGATATAATGACTTGTGGGCTACGGCTAATTATCTATTATACCGGTTGGTAAACAATTTAGCTTAGATGTATTTTCCATGAACATTGTAAAAATTTCAATAACAATTGAATTTTAATTTGTTTTATTTGATTTTAAATATAGATTCTTTTATATCGATAAAATTCGAAGACGATGGAAACGCGTCGTGGGAGAAGAAAACAGTGTCAAAGATTTGTGTAGACAACACAAACTCAACATGTGAGAAGCAGCAATCCCCTATTACGAGCACTACAAGTATCGTAGAACACAATAGTGGCAAGTCATCGCTCAGGTGGCGCAAACGTATTGGTCACCTTTTCCACGTCATCAAACTCAGATCAGGATCGTCCACCTCTTCTTGCCACGTAGCACCATCCAAGGTCGAGGGAGCCAAAGTGAGGAAACAGGGTTGGATGGTGAGGACCTTAACCAAGAAAAGTAAAAGTTAAATTTTACATATAATCATACTTCACAAAATATATTCTTCTATTATTTTTTCTTCCTTAGTTTTTTAAATGTTTGGCTTGGTCGTTCTTCAATGATTGATGCTTCCGTTTAAAGAAGAAAATTATGTGGATGTTTTTTTGTAAGTAATGACAATACATGGATTGAAATTCGATTTAAACATCCATAAATTAATTGATTAGACGATTTGTATATATATAAATATGCGTATTACATATAAAAGCATATGTAAAGAGACAAGAAGCTTTGGCCTGCACCATACCTCTTTGTTGGCATGTGGTCTGAACCTTGATAAAGCCATTAAAAGATGGGAGAAGGGTCAAACTAGCCTTTTATCATTATTTTCAATATGACAAAAGAGAAAGTTTTGGAAGAAGAAAAAAGAAAAGAAAAAGGTATAAAGAGTGAGAAGAAAAACTAGGAAAGTGAGTTGCTTTAAAAATGAATAATATGCATGGGATTCTTGAAGTTTTTTTTCTATGACTTTTAGTGCTCACCTTAATTTTTTTTTTTTTTTTATATTCTATAAAGAAAATAAATGAGTAGTACAAGTTTATAATTCAGGAAGAAGAGTCCATGTTAGGTTGTTCACAGTAGTGGGAAACATTGGAGCACATAAAATGGACCCCAAAGCATAGCCCCATTCACATTGTCTTATAGTTGTCTCTTTTGTATACATTGTATATTTCCAAATCCTAAATTGAAAGATTTTTGTGTTAAATATTATATCAGAACTTGTCGAGAGATAGTTATAGCACATCGGCTTTATGTTGGAGAATTGTCATGTCATTTGTATCTAAGTTTTACCAAGTTCATTTTGGTTCGTACAGGAATTGGGTAAACGTAAAATCAATAGTAGATTCATTTGACAATGCTGATTTTGATGTATGCTCTTTATTATGTTTGGAGGTGACAACTCGACGAAAAAAGTTGCTTTAGTTTTTTTCAAAGTTCAAGCAAAAGTAGGAAAGCAATGTGACTCTTCCATTGAAGTTTTTATCAATCTGGTAAGACTGATGCGAGAGAAAACCTAATTTTTAGGCTGATTAAAGACGAGTAGACATTTGTTTGTTTTGCGTACTTTGTCTACTTTTTTGGGTCATTTTTGTTTACCTTTTTCATATTTTTACGAAATCATTTTTAAAATTCATATGTCGAAATGTCGAAAAGATTAGCTAGATGTTCAGTAACTGACTGTTTTTCTTTTAATTTTTTATAGATGACCGTATTCAAAACTAGGAGCAGGACCACGTACCTATTTCTTTTACCTAACATAAAGATTTTGAACAATTAAATGAATTTGTTAGGAAAATATCCTCATTTGGATTGATCCAAAATTACTTAAGCTAAATTACCACACAAAAACAATCGATTTTTTTTTCCATATGATGACCAAGAAAAGGATCGTTGATCAGGACGTGAGCCATATTGGTCTGCATATATATTATTTTGAACAATTAAATGAATTTGTTAGGAAAATATCCTCATTTGGATTGATCCAAAATTACTTAAGCTAAATTACCACACAAAAACAATCGATTTTTTTTTCCATATGATGACCAAGAAAAGGATCGTTGATCAGGACGTGAGCCATATTGGTCTGCATATATATAGACACAAAGATATACGCCTATACGAAATAAAATTTAAAACGATACAAAATCGAGACTCTACGACAGTAAATCGATATTGAATGATGATAATTGCATGGTCTATAAACGTTAGTCATGATTCACGAGTGACAACAACATGTGGGATTCAAATTTCAAAGTCTTGAACTAAAGAACATGACGTATACTTGGAACTACTTCAACTACAACATTATCCAAAATTATATTCGACGGTATATGCTAGTATATACTTATGTCACTACATTTTGATATTTTATACACAAAGGGCTTCGTTACTTGCATGGCCACACGCCAACAGCCAACCCGAAGCATATACATTTTTTTCCTTCTTTCATAAATGGTACGTAATTGATTTAAATAAGTATTGCTTATAGTCAAGCCTTTTAATTTTCTTTTTGTAACTCCGAAAAGAATGATCAATAGATGTTATATGAAAACTATCAATCCGGTTTCATAGAAACTATAGCTAAATGAAGCACTTGTCGTATACACGTTTTCTTTTTTTGAATAAGTGTTCCATTCGATTTTTTTTATAAAAAATCACATATCTTGTTTCTGCAATGTGTGGTCATGGTCTAACACGATGCATTATGGTTGCTTGATTGCTAGACAAGTGTAAGAAACGTTTTTTTCATTTTTGTTTCTTTGTTACCCTCAAAGGTAAAGCCAACGAAGACTGCAACTGTGAATATGATGCTGGAGAGTATTTATTGGTTGAGTCATCTAAAACATGCATCTACATTGTATTCTAAAATGGTGAATGCAACATACAAGCACCTGAGGTTCTATGGTGTAGTGGTTAGCACTCTGGACTTTGAATCCAGCGACCTGGGTTCGACTCCCGGTAGGACCTCTCTTTTTTTCCCTTTCCTTATTACAAACACTGAAAATTAGGAGCGAGAAGAAATATTGATTTAAACTAATTATTTATGATTATTGTTATAAATCTTGTTCTAGTATAAATCTGAACCTAACTGAAAAACCGAAGGACCAATCTTAATCAACAAATAACATGTACATGTAGTTTTCCTTTAGTATACTGTATAAATATCTGAAAGCCTCATCAGATACAAACAACAGATAAATGAGTGAGTAAATAGTCATACAACAAACCAAATATTTGGTTGACGATGATGGCTTATTCTCATTCTTCATGGTTGATGTTCTCTTGATTCCTTCTGTTGCTCTTCTCTCTTCTGAAAGCATGGAACATATCCAATCCGAGACCGACATTGAGGATGTTCATCCCCGCCATACCAAACAAAGCCAGAGGTAACTCGATGCCGTTCCCAAACTTGTGTGCGTCTCTGACCAGCTTGACGGTGATGAGAATGTGAGGAATGCACCTCGCAAACACAAAGGCTGTCCAGTTCAATACCCATTCCAGTTTCACCAACGCCGTATTGCTGTCTCGGATTCCCGCCATTCTCCTTAGCTTCCTCACGTGCAGAAAGATCGAATGCATCTGTTTGTGTACACATCCGAGGTCACTAGTGTAAGCATGGATTCGGAGCAAGAACAGAGAAAAAAAAAAAGCATCAAGAAGAAACGTACCTCGCAGATGAGAGTGAGAATGAGGTAGTTGATGGTTACGTTTCGGTACAGAGCCAAAGTGAAGCAGACGAGGAGGACGAGATGGTGAACGAGGATGGAAGGTATTAAGCCGCTGTATAACCGGTACTGAAGCATATCCCACTGGTCATACGCAAAGTAGCCGCAAGAGAAACACAAAGCTTGGTATGCCCATTTCCATGTACCACCAACCAATTCTGAATGATCGAACATCTCCTCTAAACCTTTGCTCGCTAAGTATTGATTCAGCAGAATGAAAACCACTGTAGCAACAAAACATAATCAATATGGCTTGGTGAAGAAAGAAAACTGCATCACATTCATATACACAAGAATGTGGCGATGATTTTGCATTCTAACTCAAAGTGGAACAACCATAGCCTTTAAACAATACTAATTGATATCTTTCACTAAAACATCGCTATTGACTAATTCAAGGGTTATAAACACAAAGCACTTCGGAGATTGAGAATCAAATTGACCAATGTGAACAACACAGAAGCAATTTTCCGATTAAACACAGCAAAACCTTAGGATAAAATCTCAGAGCATATAGAGGGGAGAGAGAAGAGGGAAAGGGACCTGAAGCGGAGGTGATGATGGAGTGCAAAAGCGAGACGGAAGTGTTAACGAAGATAGGGTCACGAGACTGCCACGAACGAACCACCCAATTCACCAATTGGAAGAAGCACCCGCCGCAAATCACCCAGAGAAGCTCAGTCCGGGAATTGAAAACGATCTCAAACACGACGGAGACCAGCCAAAGCAGCAGCGTCGCCAGAAAATACTGCCCCGCTCCATTCTTCTTCCCTCCCGTGCTCGCCATTGAAGCACCTCTCTCTCTCTCTCTCGGAGAATTCCGGCGAAGTTAAAGCCCCAATTTGGATTTCTTACGAGCTAGGCTCAAGCTCCGTCTCCGATATACGATTCCAATTTTGGCGGATGAGACGACTATACAAATACCTTCGCGTTATAAAAGCTCCTTTGGGACGCAACGCACACGTGTCCACCGCGATTTTGATCCGTCTTGATGCTGCTGAATCATCATCGAATTACAAACAAACTCGTAACAAACATTTCAACTTTCTTGGAGAAAATTATTATATTTTGTGCCGACATTCCATGTCGACAATCTCCTTTCTTAGCAGGCCTACTCGACTCATCTCACTAGGCCTGTTTTCGGCCCGGCCCATTTATGATTCGTAAAGATCCGCACAAAAACGCATACCCGGTTCAATCCACACAAAACCAATCCAATAATCTGGACCGAAAACCTTGCACTATACATACAAATTACAAGCAGTGATACAACAAAATCAAGAATTGTAGTTAGTTGTTTACACACACACATGGAACAAAGAAGACGACTATAAACAGGGCACAATCAAACTGAAAAATATTTCGAAGCATATGATAAGTTTTATATCAGGTTGATTTGCCTTTTTAGACAGGTTTCCACACGGACAAGACCTCTTGAAACATCTCCAGCATCAGGTCACGATCAGCTTGCCTGAAGAAACCGCTGATTTCGTCTCTAACATCATAAATCTTGCCGAAATCAAACAAATACATCAAACACCCTTTCTTCAGCTTCTCCAGCTGATAAAGCCAAGCATCTTGCAGCCTCTCTAGCACGTTCCCGGAGTTTATATCTTCCATGAGGCTCTCCTCGCACGCCGCTTTCAAATCGGTGATGTCGTACTTGTTCGCGGCGCCGAGTAAAGCGAGCCTGTGTTTCCAGAAATCTTCTTGCGTTATGTTCCCGTAGAGGTAACTTAAGAGAGCCATGCAAGACTCTCTCGACATGTCGTCGATGTGGATCGTGGACGATTCTTTCTCCTTGAGGTCGTGGTGGAACATGCTTTGGAAGACGTTTGAGCTGGCCGAGAGGATGGCTTTGTGAGCGGAGAGCGTCCCGTCGGCTGTGTGGATTGTGACGTCTGATAGGATGCTTTCTTCTAGCATCCGGGATAAGCATTTGAGAGTCGTTTGCGTTGAGATTGATTGCATTGTTGCATCGTTAGGCCAAACAGGAGACGCTTCACCACCCTGTGATTTTATTTTGATTTGATTTGTGATCAAAATGAAGGCTAGAGTTATGAAACTTTGCAGCTAAACAACTTACATTCAAAGGGGAGATTTTGAGTTCCAGAAACTCAAAATCAATGGTGAATCGGCCGTGGAAGCTGGAATCCACATGCCACACACAATCGTCTATTGTACGAATCAGTTTATCATACACTGCACCACACAATACAAAATGCTAATTCACATAAGGTACTAAATTCTAATCATCTTTAATCATTATATTTTTTTTCTGAAAACCCCTAATTCAGTTTCCACATTATAATTCAAATTCCACATGTAACGAACTCGAATCAAGAGACTATACATACCGGGAGAGATGTAGAATCTGCGATTGGGGCCAACGTTGGAGACGCGAAGAACAAATTTAGCAACAGGAGGTTGCTCTTTGGAAACTCTGAGAAAGTTCTGGGAAAAGCCTCACTGAGAGATAACGATTCCTCTCTATAGACAGATGCTTTCATATCCAGAAACAGAATCAATCATAATTTTGAGAGTTAAAAAGGAGGAGGTGATTGATTACCAATTCCAAATTCCGACTTTGAAAGGATCGGAGTTTTTTGAAAGAGCAAGGTCCGAAATTTTCAATTCTCCATTGAGCTAACCTCGAGATTGTCTCCACCTTCGTATCCCCCATCCACTCTCTCTCTCTCTCTCTCTTCTCCGGTGGACTCTTTTGAGTTTTGACTTCCTTTTTCTGAACGCTTCACTTCACGCCAAAATGACACGACGAAGCAAGCAACTAACTTAAAGACACACACACACAGAGCAGCCTCCATCGCTCGCCACGTGTACGGCGATGCGTGTTTTTTCTAATTTTTAAACCGGATCGACCGGTTCCTTCCGGTTTAGTAACAAGTTTAAATCCACTATCGGTTTGGAAATGGAAGAGAAGAGAAGACACTTATCATCAGAAATGGCGGCGAAGATGGCGACGGAGACACCCACACCGAAGATCGTGTGGAACGAAGGGAGACATGGATTCGAGACGGAGGATCACGAAGCGTTCATTGAGTACAAGATGAAGAACAACGGGAGAGTCATGGATCTTGTCCGAACCTACGTACCGTCTTCAAAAGCAGGACTTGGTTTGGCTTCGCACCTCTCCGTCGCCGCCATCGAACACGCCTCCTCTCACTCTATCTCCATCGTCCCCACTTGCTCCTACATTTCCGTAAATATCTTTTTCCTTCTTCCTTTACGTAAATCACTCTTACGTTTCTGTAAAATCGCATTTTCCTGTATGCTACATTCTTGTTTGTACCATTTGGTCTGATAAACTGTCGTTTTGGCAGGAAACGTTTCTTCCTCGAAACCCATATTGGAAGCGTCTGGTTCACTCAGAAGATTCCAAGATCCTTAGATCAAACATATAATACATTTCCTTACATTATTACAAACCTTGTTTCATGTCTCTCTCTGTAAACAAACAAAATCTCAAAATGTCTTTGGCGTCTTTTTCACAGTTCCGTTGTAACAGCAAACAAACACTAATGTTTTCATCACATAAAAAAATAAACGTGAACCATAATTCTATAATACATTTTTATACAGAGACACTCCCGTGTCCTTTTAGCCAGTGACAAAGTAATCCATTTTATCCGGAGGCAAGTTCAAGACCGATTGGTCAACCTGCATCAATGTAATAGAGAAACAGACATGAGAGCTATTGGTTTGATAAACGAGAAAAAAAAAAAAGTATAATAAAGCAATCTTTTTACTTGCCTCTTCAAAAGGAACAAAGACGAAAGGAGTCATTCCTCTCTTGTGTGAGACGGCAGGTATATCTGGATTGTGAGTCTCATCGTCTCTCCAACCTTCAACTACCCCAAGAATGTCTTCTTCTGTGCTGCTCACTTCCTCATCGTTCACACCACTCGTCACAAGTGACAGCAAATCCATCCGGTTATTCGCTCCAATCGTCGTTCCTCTTAACCTAAACCACACCACAAACACAAACCCATACCATTGTCAGCGATGTCAAGCCAAGGTTCTCATATTCCATGTCTTGAGGGATTGTGATACCTTAAACGGATCCTTAAGACAGTAGGGCGTGTCCCTGGGTACAGAACAGCTGCTTCGATCTGCATAAGGAACATGTTTTCTTTAAGGATAATGAAAGATGTAAATGTTGTTGATATTCCAGCCAAAGGAAGCTAACCTTATCATCTGACATTGACAGTGTATAAGTGCCTTTGTAGAGCAAGTCTGCTTTAGAAGCCTTGAAGTTCATGTACTTGGCAACATCCTTCAATTTCTGCGAAGAGTTCTGGAGGATAAAAATAACAATGGACATTAGATCACAGCAGCAGCTTTCAACGTTTATACAACCAGTTAAAGATCGTAGTGTGCAACTGCAAACCTTGTAAAGAAATCTGCCAGAAGGGTAGAATCTTATGTAGCGGTAGTAACAAACCTGCAAAAGTTATTTCCAAAAGAACAAGACCCAACTCATCAGATTGGTCTGTAATTGTACAAAACAGAGCAAGTTTTAAGGAAAAAAAACAAAAAGACTTTACTATGTGAACTGGATTTGTAATCTTCCACTCTGCAATTCCAGCTCGAATGTAAGTATTCCTACTCACATAAAGACCTGAGGATTAACAAAGATTCAACAAAATTTGAAAATAAATCAGTCTTTGAGAAAGCGTCCATGAAAATAAGGCCACTTTGATAAAGAACGATACAGCAGCAATCACTTGTATGAGAAGTGATGGAGGACGGATGAAGAAAAGATTAGTACCATCTGTACGAACTCTTGATCTAAGGAGCCACATTTTCCTCCAAGATCCATCATATTTAGACTGCAAGATGCTATAGTTCTCGACAACACCAGCAGTCTGCCAGGCTTTCAAGCACGCGTTACGCCAGAACACAGGGTTTCGAACCGTGTACCTCCACTTTCTGCAGACGCAAGCTGATCTTCCCAAGTCATAAGGCATCATCCGAGCAAATACCTACAAGCAAACATATATCCATGAGTCAACAACCCTCAGTAGATAACAAAGACAGCATTAAGCCCAAATGAGAAAAGCTAGGAAGCTCGAACCTCGAAAAGAAGCTCATCGGGCAGGGAACGGTGAATCAAAGCTGGATCGAAATGTGGTTTACTGCTTGTGCTTCCGAACGGCGCCACAGGTCTCACATGAACTCCATAGAGATCTGAAGGAAAAGAGAAAATTGTAACTCATCTCTAAACCATAAAAACACACTTGTAATATAATAAGATAAAATCAGATTACAGAATGGATGTTAAATGTGATTAAGAGTTTACCAAGCCAAGGTCTCTTCGTAATAAAGTATTGCACAGTCTTGAGCCGCAACGCAGATTCAAGCTCAGATGGTATATTGAGAGCATCTGTGGAATCAAAAGATTATCAAAAATAATCAATAAGGAGCCACAAATCTTCACCTCTTCCCCCACTGATTTATATGAATGAATCAAAAACCTTTCATTTCTCAATTTGTAATATAACGAATTTCACGAGACAAACAGATCAAATTACAAAGCATTTTCCTCTCTGCAAACGGAGAACTAATATGGTTTTATGCAAATTTACATGATGATTTGAAGGAAAAACAAATAGAGAAGATATCAATCAGACCCAGACAGCAACCGACACAGTTCCAGATGATCAAATCGAGAAACAGAAAAAAAGAAAATAGATATCATATATATGATCCGATGAATCCCATACAATTCGATGAAATTACAAAATTCAATCTGAAATTGAAATACCTGAAGTCATGGAAGCTGATTGAGGCTAATGAAAAATCCAGCGGTTTCGTAACCGCCCGTGCGCTCCCTGATACCGGTAAAATTGAAAAAGACGATAGGACCAGAAACTCCTTCCGTGTTCTATCTTTTTCTTAATTTTTTTTCGAGGAAACCGATATTTCTGAGTTTAATATTTTCGAACCAAAGTGGATTAGTTAAAGCTGTTTGACTGTTTGATATTAGTACTATATGGTCTGTAACTTATTCGTTACATTTCATTTATATTTTTTTCACGCATATTAAGAAAATAATATCTTTAAAAATCAAATTAATCTTTACTATTTTTCTTTATATTTAAAATTGAATTAAAGATTATATTGAAAAACGGAAACAACAACTAAATAAACAAATATTCCATAGATGACAATTAATTTGAAACGGAGAGATTAATTAAAATATATATGGACAATTTAAAAGTATTTGTATTTTTTTTTCTTAATTTAAAAACAAAACAAAATCATATAACTGAAATTTGTTGAACCAATGAATATTCAAAAAGAAAAAATTGTTGGATCAGTTAAAAAATCATATAACTGAAAATTGCTACATTCTTTCTCCATGGATTAATTAGGTTGGTGTTTTAATATTTACATCTCTAAATTTTATGGAGTTACCACAAATTGCGACGTTGAGTCTATAAAAACCATTATGATTATTTTAATTTGAGTGTATTAATTAGTCCTAGGCATTTCGGGATGGGAATCTTGTTTCCACCCTTACCCGTTTAAAATTTTCCGAACTTTTCAGGAATGGGAATTTGCAATTTCCCGTTTGGGAACATTTATTTTATTCAAACGGGTAAGGGAAGAGTAAGAGAAAGGTAAGGGATTTCCCGATTTTCCCGTTTACAAAATAAAAAATTGAATTTTTTTTTCTTAAATATCCCAATTTTCCCCATATTTTCCCGTATTTTCCCATAATTTCTCATATTATTTTCAATTTTTCTGATTTATTAAGACTTCGGGTATTATTTTTTATTCCCAAAATTCTCATTCTCTTCCCATTTCCGTGGTTTTCCGTCCCGCTATAATAAAAGAATGCTTTGGGAATTATATTTGGCTTCCCAAATTTCCCATTCCATACCTGGCTATTCCCGTCCCAAAATCTGAAATGCCCAAAGCTACATACAGCTATGAAAAGCCCTTCAAAGTGTATTTAGTCGACATGATTTAAGTTTGTAATTTTTTTATATTCGTTAATGATTGCCTATAGTAGGTCAAATTAGTTTGTAATTATTAACATCGTCAGCTTGATTTACATGTGTTATCACTTATCATGTGAGCTTGATTTACATTGAGTATATTTTCTGGGAATTGTGATTCACACGTTGAGTGTATTATCCAGGAAATTGGAAAAAGCATTGTAAAAGCATTGTGACTGATTCTTGAGTTTATTATCTGGGAAATTTTTTTAAAAAAACATTACAAATTGGAAAAGGCATTGTATTATATGGGAATTGTGATTCAGATATTGAGTATAATATCTATGAATTGTGATTCAGACATTGCTTTGATTCTTTTAGGGAGAAATATTTGTGGCATAACTTTAAGCCTCATTTGCTTTGATTCTTTTAGGGAGAAGTTGTCTCCGTTGCACTCACACTAACAATTATGCTACCAATAATGAGTGCTGCTAAGTTTTCAGTGATGAGTTTGTTCAAAATCTGAGCAGTATGAATTTGCTATTGATGTTGGAGGAAAAAGCATTGCCCATTTGCATTTGTATACATACACCATTATTATAAAAAAATGAGATTTTTGGAGTAATTGTAATTGTCGTTTGATGTAGGTTGGGATTAGTTATTGGGATTACAGCATATGCAGATACCAAGTATGAAGATTTCCAACAAGTTAAAGCTTATAAAAAGACAGACTAAATTAGAAGCCCTTGAAGAAACGTTTTGTTGATATTGAACTAACATGACATGATAAATGCAGCACATAAATCATTTGTAACTTATTGGTTACATTTCAGTTTACATTTTTTTTTTGTTCAAAATTTTTCATGCATGTTAATAAAATAATACCCTTAAAAATCAAATTAACCTTTACTATTCTTCATTATATTTAAAGTTAAATTAGAGATTTAATACAAATTATGTTGAAAAACAGAAACAACAACTAAAAAACAAATAATTAAACGTAGATGGACAATTTAAAAGTATTTGGAATTTTTTCTTAATATAAAAACAAAACAAAATCATATAACTGAAAATTGTTGATAAATATTCAAAAAGAAGGGATTTGACCTTTTTGTAAACCCTATATTTAGGTAAGAATTTAATCACGTTACAAATCTTATACTTTCTAATTATAACTCACGGTTATTTCATTCATTTTTCTTTTCTTTGATTAGCAATTGAAGCGTCTTAGGTGCCTTTCTATGATCTAACATTCTGGTTACCTTATATCCGTTTCTTGGTTTGATGCGGCACGTTATTGATGATGATCTTGATGTATATTTCTTTGGCTGATGAACTTTCATTTGATGACTAATCAAATCCAACAAGGCAGAATCTATGATAATGAAAGGGTTCACCTTAATATACATGTTAACTCTAAGCGTCACCTTAATATAGTTTCACTATTGAAGCGTCATCTTAAGTATCAAAGCAGATGCCATGGAAGAAAAAGTATGAAAGCTTCTGAGATAGGCGTTGCCTTGGTTTCCTTGTTCAAAGATGAAAATTGAACACCAGATAAGAACAAGTGCTGCTCAAGCAACGCTGGAACTACTTCATTTAACTACTACATGATTGTCTTGCTCAAGAATTTGTGAAATCATTTAACTACTACATGATTTAAATGGCATAAAAAATAAAGTATGAGATTCAAAATTGCTGAATCAATCGAGACAGGAATTATTTTTTTGGTATTATGTGCATAAGATTGATAGATTTTAGTCTTGGAAACTCGATCTCAAGAAATGCCTCAAAACTAGCCAATATATTAGAAGAAAACTGAGTTCAAAAAAAGAACAATTAACAAAAGGTAAAAAAGAGGCAGCCGTTATTGTTTGGCACAGTGCATATGAAACTCTAATGAATAGATAAAGAGACATTCTCTTTCTCTCCATCTCTCTCTCTCTCTACTCAAAGCTCTGTCTTCTTCTGTGTATTTTCCTCAAAACTACCAAACTAAGCTAGTAGCTAAGAGACGGAACACACTTGTGTTTTCAGAGTTCGTCCTTGGCTTCCTCAGCTGTCTTCTCCTCTGTCTTAGAAGGCTCTCCAGCTGTGTCCTTGTTCTTGTCGATGAAGCTTATGATGTCTTCCTTTGTCCTGTCTCCTTCATAAACCACAATGTTTCCGCTCGCTGACCTGAAGTAAATGGTCGGGAAGCCCTTCACATCGAAGGTTTCACGTGGGAAGTCGTTCGTGGTTGCGTCCTGGACAAGTAAAAGAAGAGTCAGGTATATGATAAAAAAAACGCAGCGGATCAATGAATATAAGTAAAAGAAAAAGACTTACAAACTTAGCTATGACAACACTTGGGTCGCTGCTTTGGTATGACACAGCGACTTCGTCCAAGATTGGAACAAGCTTTTGGCAGTGTCCACACCATGGAGCATAGAATTCAAGCAAGACTGCAAAGTAAATATAAGAAGTGATTTATAAGTTTTTGTTTTTGCTACCAGCAAAGTGTCGTTTGTGATTTTGATAATGAAATGTAACTCACCGTTCTTTCCAGAGTTGAAGACCATGTCGTCAAGGCTCTCAGCAACAACAACCTTCACTGGCTCGTTGTTTTCGGTTGGGATAGGTTGAGATTTCTTGTGTGCGGCAACTTTTCCATCCTTGAAGTCTTTGATCCACGATTCAATCTGGTCAACCTCCAAATTTGTTTTCAGGTATTTCTTGTCGTCAACAGTCTGGATGATGATGAGAGGAACTTGGCTCTCTTCAAGTCCAAAGTACTGTTATTGGTTCAGAAAGAGAAATCTGTTCAGCAAATTTGTAATCAATATCTGAACTTGAGATAGACGATTGGAGACTAACCTGGAATGCGCCTTGGCTGTTCTCAGCATCGCCGAGTAGGAAGCCAAGACCCTGTCCCTTGTTGGATGTAGCAACTTCACGGTACTTTGATTTAAGAGCCTCAGCTCCTTCTCCAGTGAAGTTAATGAACATCATCGCCTGAAACTCAAAATATTACCATTATCAAAACCAATACGAGGTTGGGAAATAGGATCAGTAAGGAACCTGGAAGCTTTTAGTGAATACCACCATGAGCAATAGTAACTTTTACGCATCAACTCATTTCAGTAAATCGATAAATGAAACATACTTCTCCAACTAAAATCAAAAAGGCATAACATGAATACATCTTGGTAACTGTGAGTTACCTTAGTGTTCTTGCTGTCAAAGAATTTGATAACGTATGGGTGGTTGTTTGGATCTTTGTCAAAGACGGTGACAAGTGGAATGCTGGATTCTTTGACAAATTTCTCGAGAGCTTCCTCATCAAAATCCTGGATGCACAGAAGAAAATCAAACAAACATTCAGCAACAATACACCATCTAATAGTACCCACTCACTTTAACTCTATGTTAATATAAAAGTGAAAGGCTTTTCTCTTGTACCTTGGAATCAACAAACTCTTCATCAAAGGGTTTGAATAGCCTGACAACAGATCCTGTCACAGACTCTCCACGGGGAAGAAGTTTAGCATCTGAGGTGTGTGCGAAATCATAGTCAGATCGCAATTTCTCAGCAAGGGCCACGAAAGAGTCAAACTCTGAGCCGGATAATTTAGGGAACACCCCAACCTAAAAACCAACAGAAGCAGACGTTTATAGACTTTCAATGGAACAGAGACAAAAGAAAAAGGAATGTTGTTTTTGATACTTACCGCAACAACCTTCTTGTCACCAACAACCTCAGCAGCCTCATCAGCTGACTTAATCTCAAATGAAGCAGGTCCACTTTGTTTCTTCAAGTAGGAGACGATGCCGTCAGCTTCACGAGGTCCGTTGTATTCTTGGATTTGTTTACCTCCGTTTCTGAAAATCTTGATTGTTGGGAAACCTTGAACCTCGTACTGTGTCGCAAAGTCTCTGTTTGTTTCCTCACTTGCATCAATCTTGGCCAGAACCACCGGAGGGACGTTACTGCTCAACTCTGACGCAGCCTTCTCGTACTGTAAACAAAATTACCACCACCCGTTTAGTCACGGTTCCATAATTTAGACAATTTAGCTATGCTAAGTGATACGAAAGACGATAAATTCCTACATGCAAAACAAATCATGTTTTCAAGTGACTGAAAAAAGTATAATTTACCTCAGGAGCTAGCTGCTTGCAGTGTCCACACCTGGAAAAAATAACAAAATTCGGATTACCAAATGATAAAGATCAAACACTTTCACAAATCAATAACCGATGCAATTTAAAATCTCGTAATTTCAATTAATTTACATAGATCGAATCGTTTAAATTACAGAATTGCAACTTAAATTTTTTCCAATTAAAACAGATCAGCTACGATATCAACAGTGGAAACATCCGAGAACACTAGTGAGAAGAAAAGTAATTCGCATGCAAATCCAGAAACGACGAAAAAAGCAAATGATAAATTCAGATCCAGGTGGAAAGAAAAAGGGGATCCACGAATCATAACACAAACCATGTCAAAAACAAAAGTATAAAACTAAATACGATCGGAGAGAATGAATAATCACAGTACCATGGGGCGTAGAACTCGACGACGATGAAATCGTGCTTGTTGATGGTCTCGGTGAAGTTAGTGTGATCCAAGGTCAACACGAACTCCTTCGTCTCCGTCTGCTCGCATCTCACAGACGAAGCGATCAAAGACAACACAAGGACCGAAAACAAAGCGTAACCCCTCATAGCCATTATCGATCTCTTCCTCTCTCTCTCACTAAGCTTCGATCGGAACTCTGTAAGCTCTCTATAGGGAAGCTGTGGGAGATATTTATCGGCTCGTTTCGCTGCAAATCACGAAAACTAAATGCTAAATGGTCACACTGACACGTGGTGAGCTCTCATTGGATATTACGTCGTCATAGTTATAGAAATTTGGCAGGAACTTAAAAAATTCCACATTATCATTATCTCGAGTCTTGACAAGCGTGACATAGTTATTTTTCCTAATTTACCAGCAGTGAAAGGTAAATACCAAAAGAGGATCAAAATGTTCTAGTTACACGAGGCCCACCAATGCCTAGGCGCCACGACATCGAAAAATCACGTGCTCACTAGGCTGGAACCAGATGAGATCTCCGGTTCGCGACTTCGTGCAAGTAAATGGTCAAAATAAAGAAATCCAATTAGATCTGACCAGTTATGGATCATGGATGGTTTATAGTTTAATTTTATACCATAATTAACACTTTTACATATTGATTTGATTTCAGAAAATTAACACTATGATCGTAAATTCCTAGATTTTACTATTTCTTATAAATTTGGGAGAATAGTATAATCATAGGGATTTTCATATTGATTTGATTTCATATAGTGGATTTTATTAGGTTAAGAAAGTTTTCTTGTTGTAAAAATCAAAGAAAGTCATATAGTACTTCTCTAAACGAAGAAACCAGAACAACACATACAAGTTTTTGCAATGATTCATTATGTGGTCGTATAATTGTCCAAATGAATTAACAACATTAGTTTGTTTCTTGAACGTTATACAAAGCTCAGGAGCAAGCTGAAGCGTTTTTAACAAACCTCTTGAGTTCTTTAGCCACTTGCACCATGCTTGGAACTTCCCCTCTATCACCCATGCATCTTTCCGAGAGGATAACGAAAGCTTCCATCTGGCAACGTTCTTCTTCTCCAACCTCCCCCATTTTCTCCAACACCTTCTCATCTATGATCTCATCGATTCTTCCTTCACCAATAGATTTAGGCAACCATTTTGGAACCTTTTGCTCCGAACGGTTCCAATCAAGATTCCGACCATACACCTCACGGAATCTTTCTTCTCCTAAAAGAAGCTTTTGCATGAGAATCCCAAATCCGAACGCATCGGTTTTCTCGGACACTACGCCGTTAACCATATAATCATCATCAATATAATCATACGCTCCACCTCCGTAACGCAGCTTGACAAATGTTTCACCTTTGGGAATCGAGACACAATACGCGAAGTCGCTCAGCTTCGCGACCCCGTCCTCGTCCAGTAATACATTCCGAAGATTCATATTCGCGTACACGAAAGGTCTTGGGAAGGCAGTGTGAAGATACGCTAAAGCAGTTGCAACCCCTTCAGCTATTTTCATTCTCTTTTTCCACGACACTACAATGTTTAGATCTATCGTAGAATATTGTTTCTCTTCACCGTAATAAACCATGAATGGGAATCTAGTTTCTAGACAGCATCCAACCAGTTTCATGAAATTCTTGTGACCACTCACCATCGATGATATCACTATGTCACGACATAGTTTTCTTTCGTAGTACATGAATTTCTTGATAAGGATCATGCAGTGGTCATCGAGCGTACCTGAACACCAAGTCCCATAAGCAGATAATCCGGAAACACGTGTACACTTACAGAAAATAAAGATATTTGTATCATATTGGGGATATTGCATTTGCAGGCCTCGTTGGTGGCTTTCAAGATCTGAGTGGCGGAGAAGAATTTGATGGGATTGGATTTTCCATCGCAACATTTGATGACATCTTCTAATAACATCCCTCCTCTCTCTTTGCCTCTCACCAACCTCTGTTCTTCAATAACAGATTGTGACTTGTTCTTCCTCCACCAGGCCATCTCGATTATATTTTCTTTTCTTTGTTTAGATCCAGAAAAAGTTTCTTCACTTTGACGATAAATGGCAAAGATTGAAGACCTCACACTAAGTTGAAAACGAACAATAAAGTTTAAGTTGCCGACAAAAAACAGAGTTGAGAACGAACAGTAGATAAAGACAGGTTGTCGTCGTTGAATATTCGTAGTTTATATAATGATCCCAAAAGGCCAAAACAATGATCCAATTATTCAATATTCGGTCACATGCTTCCTTTTGATATGCATGTACTCTTTTTTGTGTTAATTTGTTGAATTATATTGGAAACTGCTCAAAAACTTTCCACAGGCATAAGTTATATAAAAATTGCCTCACTATAGAGAACACCTTTTAAGACAAGAGGACTAAAACAAAAAATAGAGGAATAGACTCTCTTAAGTACGAAAGAGTTCATGCAACCATGAAGAATGATTTCTTGCAACTATATACTAAAAACAAGAATGGTTTCTTGCAACAAAATACTAAAAACAATCTTGGAGCGTACGCGTCTTTGTGCAATGGAAGCAGTGTAAGATAAATACAATTAAACGAATTTCTTCTCTTTTATTTTTCCACACCCAAAACTGTAACAACATTTAAAACTTTACACTTTTATATTCCCTCGTTGCATATTAAGTGAATATAGTCTAATGTTCAATATTATCCTTGTTTGACTCTTAAAATTCGATAGTATTTAATGTCTTTTCTTATTTAATCAAGAACAAAACAGATAAATTAATAAGAAAAAGTGCATTGAAATCAGAAAAGACAATTATGTAATAAAAAAAATCTTCTAAAATGACACTATTATGAAACCGATGCAGTATATAATATTGTAACATAATGGAACAAAACACACTTATAAAAAAACAAACAGAACCAAATTTTTGTTTTTTTTTGTCTCGAAAAGACCTCCGCTAAATTCAAACCTCACCACAAGTTACAATGATATGATGAAATAAAAAATTTGGCTCAATAAGAAAGAATATAGTCTACTATTGAAAATCCGGCATCCCAATAAGAAATGTCGTGTTAATGCTGACCACAAAGTATCTGAACACTACCATAGAAACAATCCAGTTAAAGGTTTTATAGACTCTTACAATTTGTTTTTTACCTTAGAAACAATCCAGTTAAGAGGACCTGGTGGAATTTGCAGATATGACTGAAGAAAACAAAAAGGAAGATATAGATCTAATTGCTATGCACTAAATTAGCACTCCAATTAAGAAGCAAACGGACAATTTTCTTACAAGGTTTTTGGGACTTAATTTCACAAAACCTTATTTCTTCCCTTTTCAATCATGAAGAGTTAAGAATTCTAATAAATGGTGAATTCCGGTCGGCATTCTTTCAAGAACTAGTTGTATAAGCTAATGAGACCTAGTGTATCCTTGAAAAGAGAAGAAATACGATCTCTCATTAGAATTCTTAACTACTTATTTCTTCCCTTTTCAACTATAAGGAGTTAAGAATTCTAATGAGAGATTGGAAGTCAAATTGATGGGAAAACGGCCAATTCATACCCAAACTTAAGACGTATGTTCGATTCATATCTCAACTATACCACTGTCAAAATTCATACTCAAACTTATATAAAATTTAAATTTCATACACAAACTTTCAATTTTTTGGTTTTTCATACATTTTCCGTTACTGTTTAACTAATCCGTTAAGTCGTGATGACGTGGAAGCCACATAATATACGACGTCGTTTTGAATTCAAGCAAAATTAAAAAAATAAATGTAAAACGATGTCGTTTTCTATTTGCCTTGATTTTTAGTTCGTGAGTTTCCAATTCCCAACTATTAATGGCGAGCAATTAATGGTTGGGAATTGGAAAGTCACGACCTAAAAATTAAGGCAAATAGAAAACGACATCGTTTTACATTTATTTTTTTAATTTTGCTTGAATTCAAAACGACGTCGTATATTATGTGGCATCCACGTCATCACAACTTAACGGATTAGTTAAACAGTGACGGAAAATGTATGAAAAAACAAAACAATGAAAGCTTGTGTATGAAATTTAAACTTTAAGTAAGTTTGGGTATGAATTTTGACAGTGGTATAGTTAAAGTATGAATCGAACATAAGTCTTAAGTTTGGGTATGAATTAGCCGTTTTCCCTCAAATTGATAATAAGTTAATTTGCTTTATATATTTTTTTAATAAAGATCCTAGAATTAAGTTATACTGTTTGATTGTGGGAGTTCTAAGTTTTTTTTTAAGTTAGAACTGTATAGTTTTTTAAGTGTGAACTTCATAGTTTTTGTGTAATACTATTGTAGCTAGCTTATCAAGGTTTTGTCGTGCTAAGATTCGAGAGAGTGGGACGTAGTGATAATCTACCATGTGTGGTAACATTGTAGATTCTGTTAATTTTGCTAACGTTAATCTTTATACATATGGTTTGTTAATTTATACATGTGCATAGAAGTGGCTTTGCAAATTCTATCCAACCGCTCAGGAAGATCAATCCCATGTGCCATCCCTGGAATCACCAAAAAAAAAAAAAAAAAAAAAAAAAAAAAAAAAAAAAAAATCACACTTCTTGATACTAGAAAACAGGACAAGACATAAATAGAAGTTGCACAATCTGTGAAGCTGTTAGTTTTCTACCATGCACACATCTGTCCCTAATCAACAAATCTAAGACCGAAACCACAGTTACTATATACCCTTGAAATCCATACCCTAATTGATCCACAAACCTTTGACCTAAACTTAAATCACTGCGATTAAATCGAACCTTTGCTTCAAACACTAAGAAAAAGAGTTTCTCATTTCGATCGAGAGAGATATATTAGGGTTTACTTCCTCTTGGTTCTTTTTTTTATCTTTTTGGACTTGAGAGATGAATACGATCCCCACTCGGTAACCCTTATATACTTGCTAAACACGCATCAAATTTGTTTTCTTTGAAGCTGTAATGTTATTGAATCCATAAAAATAAATATTATTTAATTCATAAATTTTCTGAAATTCGATAACTGGCATAAACTTCAAGCATCTACAAGACTACAAGCAGTAAAACAAATCAATGAATATATGAATGTTAAATATGTACAACAAATTATCCTAAACCGAATCTAATATCATTACCAAAATTTTAAAATCTTGCAAAATCAACCCTCAGCTTCATGAAGTAGAAGAAGACTGAGGTTGTTGTTGTTGAAGTCTAACATGTTCATGAGCTTTCACAACTTGTGAAGTAAAATTCCCCAAAGCCTCAAAGATTGGGACTAAACCAGCTTGTAAGCTGCTTGAAGCTGCATTGTTCACTAGTTTAATGGTTTCCTTGTGCCTTGCTCTCTCTTCTTCAAGCTTCTTCCTCATTGAATCCAAATCCACCTTCAAATCATCCAACGCCGAGACCCCACTCTCAGACAAGACCACGCTTCTCTCCGATGCACCGCCGTCTTGTAGCTGCTCATTTCTCATTCTCACTCTCGCCCTCTCCATCCGAAGATCATTCAAACGTTTCTCAAAATCATGCGACACATACTCTGCTTTCACTCTCTGCCTTTGCTCCTCGTCTTGTCTCTCCCATAGCTCATGCAAGCTCGAGGCGAACCCTTGCATGGCGTTCGTAACGTTCTCTCCAGAGATTCTCGCCATTGCTTCTTGCCAATCTTTGCACATGGTGAAAACCTGTGGAGCTCCAACACGGCTGGGAGAGAAAGGAGCGATTCCGTCCTCTGTTGACTCAGGCTCATAGTGAAGACATCTCGAGAGCCATCCGTTTAGAGACTCCACATATAGTTTCTGAGTATTGACCCATTCGTTAAAGCTAATGCACCATTCTCGCAGCTCCATCTCCAGATCAAGAATAGCTTTCAGACCAGAGTCTCTTTGTAAGCCGGTGTTTGCCTTTAGAGACCGAACCTTACTCTCCATGATCGCCTGGAACTGCTTCTGGTGGCACTTAAGCATTGATCTCCACATTCTTATCAACCTTCAAGTCCAAAGTATTGGATTACACAAATGAATATGTACACATAGAAAGAGTCTGAAGGAAATGTGATTAATTTAATATACCCGTGAATCAGTCGAGTGAGCTGTGGCTGTAACTCTTCGTCTCTCAGTTTATGTATCCTGCTGGAAATGGAATCAACGGATCTTATACAGACGTCGAGTTTCGTTAGCAGCTTCCTAATGGATGCTCTAGTAGTGTCAATCTTGCTAGATTCAGCACCAAGACTATCCAGTTTCTTCAATGTTCTGCACTTTTCTTCATAGATGACACGAAGCTTCTCTTCATCCTGACATCAACCAAGAACTAAACACATCACAAGATGCTCGAACCTAAAGAGAGACACTAATCCATTCGAAATCAAGAAACACATTGATACCTTGACTTCCTTGTAGAGTTTCTTTTCCCAAGCATAGAGTTTCTCCAAGGTCGATGAGAGGTTCCCACTAAAGCCTTCGTCCTGACCATTGTATGCTTTTGCAATTTTCAGTACTCTAGATGTTAACCGTATTGATGATTGAGGCTGAGAGCGTGATGTCGTTGGTGCTACCAGATACATGATCCGAGAGAAGATAACTAGAGGGTGAGAAAAAAAAGGTTAACATTGCTATCAAAGTGTATATATGTTTCTCCTGCATGAATAGATCCAAAGTCACTGCTAAACTTAAAGCATAGTTTCAAATCAGATTACTCTATCCAACAAAACATGTAAGAGCGTTACCTTTGAGGCCAGAGCTTTTCTGCTGATAAGGCAACTTGCTGACCTCAAGCAACACAGCAACTTCCTTGCCATGTGAAGAAGCAACTTCAAACTCGCTCTTGATCTCCTTGACAACTTCTCTGAGATCTCTAGTGGCATGAACCGACAATGCAGACAAGCTACTTATCTTGGAAGATTCAACACCAAAAGAAGCTGTTCCATTCTCATCCAACTCAAAGCTCACTCCTTTCTTCCTCACGTACTCTTCTTCCTCTACTACTTCTCCAACGCTCTTCCTAGCAACCGTCTCGTGCCCGTTTAAATCATTGCCGCTGCTACTCTTTTCTTCTCCATCATCAACATGATGAAACTCGGATCCTTCTTCACTGCTCGAAAACGATGAGACGGTCTTTGAACCAAAAGAGCTCTCGTTGGCCGTTTCAACCACAGGCACTGCCCTTGATGTTCCTTCACCTGAATCTCCTCTTTTCTTCATCTTTCTCTCGTGAATCTCTTCCCGTTGGGCACGATTTCCGAGCTCGCTCTCCTGTCTATGTTCTTCAACTTTCTCCATGCCTTTCCTCTTCGAATGTTTGAATGTTTCCGCAATGGCTTCTTGCTCTGTTTCATCTTCCAATTCCGGAATCCCTTCCCTCTCTCTCACTTCCCTCGAATCAGGACTGCTCGAATTTGACTTACCTCCACCAGCACCGGCACCGGAGATTTCGCCGGCTCCAGCTCTGTTGTAATCGTAAGTGTCGAATACATTCAAAAAATCCCAAGAGGAAACCGTAGGCGGAGACGGAGGCGGCCTCGCCGGAGATGGCGGCGCTCTACGTTGTTCCGGGTAGCCGAAATACCCGGTATTACTGTTTCCGGGGAAGTAATTGGAGTATCCGACTCCATTCTCCGGCAGCCACTGCCCGTTCTCCACTCGATAATTTTCCGGTTCAAATACTACCGGTCGAGATGGTGGCGCCGACTTCTTCATAAAATACATTCCCGGATTCGGGTACGGGTTCGAATTCGGATTCTCTCCCATATATCCCCATCCTTCAGTCGGATACTGAAACCCGGCTGAGTAACCCGGTGCATAACCCGGTTGATACCCCGACGTAAAACCAGGCGCATAACCAGGCGGGTAATTTGGCGGGTAACTGGGCGGGTAACTGGGCGGGTAACCGGGTGGATAACCGCGTGGGAAAGTTTCCGGTAATCGTTGTTCTTCCTTCTCCGCTTTAGGGCTGGATTCAATGTGGATATGACCCAATGACTCGTCAGATCCAGATTCAAATCCCGAATCGAACTCGGATCCAGAAGACAAATGCAGATGCGAATCTTCCTCTCCTTCTTCCTCTTCTTCTTCTCCGTCTTCAACGAGCGAATGCGAAACAGAAGTCGAAGAAGACGAGATCTTGTGTTTATGAGGCTTCCCTTCGTCTGACGGAAGAGTAAGAACCGGCGAATCCGGCGAAGAAGCAGAGCCAGCAACGACAAATTCCTCGTCGACAAAACGCTTAATAGATTCGCCGACGTCGCAGAGAGACTGAAAGTAAGCGAGATGAGCAGCGGCCAAAGCACAACGATGATACGACGCCGCTTTAATCAGTTCCTTCCTCTCTCTGCAGAGAATCACTAGCGGTTGATCATCTACTTTGGATCCTCCACAACCCATAACACTTCGTCGTCTCCAACAACACTCCAGACGCGGTTTCAAGTCTCATGCTTTTTCCTCCATCGCTTTCCTTCGGGGAAAAAAAAAACCCAGATCGGAATCTGGAGTCCAAATCGGAAGCAGCGGTGGAGAGAAAACAGAGTTTGAATTGGAGAATCAAAAGTTGCTTAATTTGTCGTTATGAATGTACGAAATTGGGAGGGAAAAAAACAAAGAAGTAAACGTACAGGAGAGCTCTCGTGCATGCGAGAGAGTGACAGAGGGAGAGAGACAGAAGAATCCATGGGGTTTGCTGATTTTCTTTAAACGTGACCGTAGCAGACAGGAATCAGAGGAGAGAGACGGGGAAAGAAATAAAAAAATAAACTTAAAACTAAAAAGAAATGAGAATTCGTCTTGTTGCAATTAATTTCGATGTCCACGAAATTTAACGGATAGGGATGTGTGTAAGAAAGCTAGGGATCTGGGCAAAACTTAAATGCAAATTGAAATGGGGAAGGAGAAAATGAGAGAGACGAGGATGAAAATTTGTTTTTTGTTTTTCTTTTTTTCTTATATCAAATTTCTGAAAAATCTCCACATTTTTTCCGGGAACGAGAGTCGGAAGAGAAGCGATGTCGACGACGAAAGGAGGTTGGGATAAGACTGTCCTTAAAATTCTTTTTTTAGCCTCAGTACTTTTCTCTTTTTACTCTTTTCCCCTATACTTTAACTTTGATCTTTTTACTCTTTAACGAAATTCAAGAAAAAGAGAAAAAGTTCAAAGTTTCAAACTATACCCGTAGGCCCCTACAATTGTAAAATAAGTGAACAGTAAAAAGTGTATCTAGTTTGGTTGGTAGAAGTGTTTTAATTGACAGGTTTAGTTTCATTTATTGAAGATAACCTTAAACAGAAGCTGTCTTTTTTAATTAAACAGAAAGAAAATTATAAAACATTAATTATACTACTACAGTAATTGCTACTACAGTAATTGCTAGTCTGATAGACAAACTTTTGGTCCATCAACGACACTTACAATTAAACGATAGTCGAGAGTATCGATGGGCACTAAAATTGTAAAACATTTAAGTTATCACTAGATTATTTTGGAGAGATTTTTTGTTTATTAAAAATAAATAAATATTTATGGTAGAGCTCCAGTTCTCGAAAAAATGAAACAGTAGTAATAAAATATTGCATGAAGGGGAAACATGAACATGTTACGAAGGAAAGAGAGTGCTTTAGGCTTTAGGCCTATTAGACAAAAAAAAGCTGAAACATGCCACTAGGAAAGAGTGCCAGTCACGTGCTGCCAAATCGGGTTCTCACGTGCTTTCTCAAATCCAGTTCGCATGCACCTTCTCGTCCCAAGTTTGGGAAATTCAAAATCGTTTTCAAATTCTTCAAAGTGGTTTCTTGATGCTGTGCCTGTGATGTCTACCTAATGCTACTGTCTGTCCACCTATTTCTGCCCACCATAAAATTCATATATACTTTCATCTATGGTTTGAATAAGATTTAAGACCATGTCATTTGTAATTATCATTTGCTGAAACTTGTATCCACATCAACCTTTTAAAACTTGATAAAATGATTTGATATCATTTACTTCCCTATTTTTAGTTTCTCTGATTTTAAAATATACTAGACAGAAATATATTGTTGTTCGTAATACTTAAATTTTGCTGAGTTTGGTATTGTTCGTTGAAATGCCAATTGCGTGTACTCCAAAATTGATATTTTTAATTTTACCTTTTAGATTTTACCCCCTAGAAATACATTTTAGATTTTAAAAAATTACTTATATTGTTTATAATTACATTTCCACTCAAACACGTGTAGTCACGTTCTTTTATTGTAAAAACCGAACCTAGAGAATTAATTGGGCATTGATAGATAAATGGGCATTGCAAATTGGCATGCAAAAATCGACATAATAATCAAGATCTAAGCAAATAGGGAGAGGACTAAAAGGAACAGTAGGCTATCAAAAGGGAAAAAAGGAAGAAAAAAAGCCATAGAAGAGTTTGGTTGATTACAGTATATCTTTATAATATGCATGCATATACTGTTTTCATTATATAGATATATGCATGCATTCGAAGAAACTTAATATTATTTTCTCTTCAAAGTTCAAATACAACCAAATGCTAGTCTTCACTAAAACCCCATCATCAATAATTATACATTTTTGACAACTAACAAGTCACAAAATGTATATCTTTTTATGAACAATCAAAATTAAATCGAACGGCCATGGTTGGTCATTTGAGTACTTTACTAATATCGTGTGTAAAAACAACTCTTGACAACATTTTTGTGAAATATAATAAATATATATCTACAAGTAGACTGCTAGAGATAAATGCAATAGTTGATGCAAAATTAGTGAGGTAATTAATGAAGTGATGATATCACTTTTGAATCTTAAATTCTTAATGGTTGTTAGTTGTTACATACTCCAAAGAAAACAGTGAGATGTACGGATGGATGTAAGATAGACAAAGGTGGTGGTTGTTTCTAAGTTCTACCTCAGTTTTTCTTTTCACGTTACCTCCCCAGTTTCAATATTCCGATTCTTTTTTGATACTCAAAACTATTCTTGATGACATAATCACTTTTGTATTTTTTTGGTTCTTTGTATATATATATTGTTTTTCAAAATCACCATTTGACATGTATAAGATCAAGTAATGGTATCATCAAATAAAGTTACAAGGATAATACCAAATTAAAAAAAAAAAAAAAAATGGCAGCTTAATTTTGTATTTGTTGTGTGTCAAACTTCTAAAAAGAGTTTTGATAATTATATCATTATATTTAAGACCCTAAATTTCATGAATGAGAATCGAAGTCTTAACCAATCGCTTTTGGCTCACCATAAGTTTCAACTTGATGCGTCATCATTTGATGGCGTCGAACTTAGCCCCACCTCTCTTTTTAGTTCCATCTTTGACTTTCTATTTCTTTCATTAAATTAATTTTCCATGACAATTCACAATCGTACTTTCTTTTTGGCTCAAAAATATCAAAGAAAACTAGAAGTGGTACCTTTGTTTTCAATGCAAAACTAAGCTGTTTTGGTGTGGGAACACCATTAGTGTATAGAGTTTCTTAGATAGTAACCTGATCGACATTCAAAGTTCGACGTCAATGTAAGCACGAATTGCTTAACAATGAAGATACTTTTGTCAAAATATGTTATTTGTCAATCTTGTAGAAAAAATATGTGATAACATTAACTTAAACCAAGTACGTCAACATCGCACGTGGCATTGAAAACTTCCTAAAAAGAGTCCTCACATTGTTATATTGGCAAGTACACGCGGTTAACCTAATTTGAAGAAATTGTTTTTGTCAAGTACCCAAAAGAGAGGAATCTTGAATATAGTTTGTTGAATCTTACATGCTCAACAATTAATAACACCAAACCCAAATTTTATTTTTGAATGAAAATAAAAACATATGTATGACATAGTGGTGATTCAAACCCTACACGAAGACGGCCGCGTTCCATGACACTTATAAAATACTGATGGATTTAAATTAGATGATCAGTGGGTGGGTTTCGTCCTAATTATCAATGCATGGCATATACGTAACGTGATGTGATGTAAGCTCTGCGCAATGACCGATATTAGATATATCATCATACTGTATATGTAATATGTTAACCTTTTTCGTGTCTTTATAAACTTAGATATATATGTAGTTTAATCTAATTTGTGATCAACAGATTTAGCTAGTACCATGTGAAATATTAAAATAGCCAAATGTGGTTCCAAACATCAACTAAACCAAAAGAAAACATAATCTATGTAATGATTAGGTGAACACGAGTACCCACCGCTATCAATTTGGAGAAAAAAACCAAAATTGTTTAGAAAAAAATGAAACAAAGACGATGATGATGTGAGAGCTTATGAGTATCGATTGTTATACATTAATCGGTATAATAATAAATAAATTAGTGGTTCTGGAGAAAAGGAAAAGCTTGGGGATGTTGAAAGTGTATTTTGGTATTTTTGGGATTATGGAATTTCAACCAAACTCTGTCCCTCTCTCTTTTGACAAACAACATGATGCTTTCATCTCCATTATCATCATTTCCATGATTTGCTTTTTTTGTTTTTTTTTGGTAAAACCTTTTTCCCTGCAAACTTTGCTTATGTATCTATACAGTTCAATTTAGACACCGTTGTCATATATTCAACAATCTTTTGAGATTTGACCAAAAAAAACATCGAACTACTATCTTCTACGAGAATATGTAGGAGACTTCCTCTTAATTTAGTTGTCACAGTTTCGAAGATCAAATCAACTACAAATAGCAAAATCAGCAAAATCAAGTTAAGCTGAAGAACTAACAATTGGACTTGTTGCAACATTGTTGATTAGACCTAAAGAACATACAAAAATAATAGCCACAAAGAAGAAAATAAAATTTCGTGAGAATATATATTTACATCATGTGTTTGTCCTCAAACGTTAGAATCAAAGACGATCTGGATAATCGAGTTTTCGCCTTTGGAAGATCGAAACATCATGACTCTAAGAGCATGCTCCCTTTGACACATTATCATCATCATCATCATCATATCACCTTTTCAACTTTGCATTATAGGTCAATGATGATGATTCACTTTGCAGCATTATCTTGAAGCTGGAGTCTCTGGGAAACAACAGAGAGACCTGGAGCTATCTCACCTGCTCAGTTTCGCGTTTTCATGGCAGAGTCTGGTAACTTCTTCAGCCAAATTCTGGAGTTCCACTGCTGCAGCAGACGCCAATTCTTTAGCGTAAGAAGCTTCTTCGGTTAATTTCTTATTAAGTTTTCCGAGCTCATCTTTTTCCTCAATCAATCTCATTTTCTCCTTCTTCATATTCTCTATTTCCAAAGCCTAGTGATGTAAAACAAAAACAAAACTCAGTGACCTGGTTTACAAAAACGGAGCAAGCTTTGGAATGGGAGGATACCTGAGAGTTGAGAGTTGTCTCTTTAGTCTCCTCCTGAGCAAATACTCTATTTAAGCTCATCACGCTAGTCGGTGTTCCTGCTCCAGAGTAGATCTCCGACTCTTCGCCATTTCTGTTGTGAGGATTCTTCCCTGATGATTCGTCTCCGGCTAAGGAATCTAGTTGTTGCCTTAGCAGGATGATTGTCTCTTGCATCTCAGCGTTCTCTGATTTCTGTACATTTAAGGTAATAATGAACTTCAAGCTGTTAGGACTTTGAAAATACAGAGCCAGTTTATGGAGTTATTTTAAACTTACAGTCATCTGGAGCTGCTCCTGAAGTATCCTATTGTCTGCAGACTTAATCTTGAAAAAGGTAATTTACAACAAAAACATTGTCACTGAATCTGATTTGACAATATTATGAACTCATAAGAGCAAAGAGAAATTAAGGATGATGAATACCTCATGTTCAAAGATTTTCTCATTTAGTTGCATAGTGAGCTTTGACAGAACCTATATCAAGCAGACGCAATAAAATATTATCCAAGATGTGTATTGATTGGATTCATATAAGCAGATAGTTCTTAATGAAATAACAACGAGGAGAAATTGCAACTATAGCTATCTTCATCATCTATTGTTTTACCTGAGACATTCCAAGAGCGTCTGTTGTATGACTCATTCTGAAAGTTCCAAACATCTGTTGCTCGAGTGCACGTATTTGATCCTTCTTTTCGCTGATTTCATCTTCCAGTTTCTGTATTTGATCCTGTAGTCGACAATGCAAACATGAAAGAAGCACTAAGTAATATGCTAATAATTTGGGGACTGATTCACACGAAAGGCTCACTCTGATATGAAAATCTTCAGGGTTGCGAATAGCTTGCTCAGAAAGCCTATTCAATGAACTGGTACGCAACGCTACTTCTCCGACTAGTATTTTTGTTTGCTCGTGAAGAAGATCCATTTGATCCGCAATAGTAGTTCCAGTCTGTTGCATGTCATTTTGCTGGTTATGTCAGTAAAAAAGCTACAAAATGACCACTTCCAAAACCTAGTAAATGCCATTTACTGAGACACCACTATTTTCTCGAGCGTAGACAGAAGCAAAAGAAACATTATCTCACCGGAGAAAGGTCTACTGCAACAGTTCTTTCTGGAAAAGACTTGTTAGTTGCTGCACTTTCTCTTCTGGTTGATTTTGTTTGAGAAGAATTAGAGGATGATGAAGGAGATCCACTTGCAGAGCACTGGTTACCATCAGTCTGCAATGTCCCAGCCACACCATCAGATTTATGCAGCAAACATATTATGGGCCTTTTGCTTAACAGGACATGGCAGATATTGCTGAAGCAGTCTAAAATTGTTAACATGTAAATAACTCTATATGGTTTTGCCATTTTGGATAGATTCATTCTTAATATCATTTACATCCTCCTAATTCCCACCTATAACTTTTGATACAACAGAAGGGTCGAGGAAGAGTAGAACTTACTTTCAGTTTTAGCCACCCAAGCATTCCACGAGCCTTATTCTTTTTCCGGTCCTTTGTCATCTCGTCCAGACTAGTAGTTCCATCTCTTGACTCCTTCAAATGTTCAGAAACTGTGCTTACTGCATCATCATCAGGCATGTTCTCCCGTCTTCTATCGGGCAAGTAAGCTAGCTGTAGAAACCATGGTGTAAAGTTAAACATCACTATCATCATATGATAGTAAAGGCTGGGGAAAAAATACTAGTATTCCACCAAAATGGAATGGTTTACTCAAAGAACTTTGGATAACAAACATACCTCATCCTCTCCAAAAGTATGCCTCCATATATGGTCAGGTTTCACAGAAGTTTTTGTTGGCAGTGAAGTTTTTGTTGAAACCAAGATTAATTTTGTCAATCGCTGAATTCTTCCCATTAGAGCTGCTTTGGCTTCTTCCTCCTCATCCAACCTTGACTGGAGTTTAACCTGACCAGATTTCATCTTATAAAATATGAAAGAGCAAAATGAAAGCAAGGCACAACTGGAAGAATGCAGATTTTTAAGTGTACGGTACAGATATAATCAACAGATTCTTAAAGGCAAAATTTGATTAAGGATTAGTGGCTTCAATTAGCTTGTAATAGGCATAGCCAAATACACTTTCATTCAAAGTTTTATAATATCTGGGCTACAAAGACAAGAAAAGCCATAATGAACTATCTGCATACACCAACCTGAAGTTTTCGATCAGAAAAATCTTCTTGGTTAGACGTGGACATAGAAACCCCGCGCTTCAATTCCGTAAGTTCCTCTTGTAAACAGGATATTTCTTTCTGATACTTTTTTATAAGGGACTTTTCATCCATAATCTGTATAAAAAACAGTTTAAAAATATCAAGAAGAGAGCTCTAGTGAATTTAAGGAACTTCAGAGACATTAAGACCATAGATTCACCTTATTTCGTGAAGCTTTAATTTCAACATGCTTGCATCTCTGAGCGAATTTCAGTGTGTTGTGCGTTTCTTCACTTGTGCTGGATGCAGGTGTGATAGTGCAAATAAGCTGGAAAGAAAACAAAGGGTAAGAAAGTCAATACCGACACAGCAGTCTCTTACTTAAACCTGATTTCTTCAAGAAGAGCTATGCCATCAAATGAAAGTTCATTAACCACAGAAACACACCTGGCGTTTGGAACTTAAAAATTTGACTTAATCAGGGAACAGAGTAGAGAACTTACTGATACTCGTCCATGACCACTAAGTGTTGACTGCAACAGACGTGTAAGTTTAGAATCTCTGTAGGGTATATGAGCTGCCTTGGTGTCTGTCAATTTAGATATAACCTGAAGATGGAGATCAGAAGTTTAGTCACACTTTAATAAAGAGGGTCAAATGTAATAATGAAAGAGAACTTCCTTACGGTGCCAAGGGTGAGTAAACTTTTATTGATGGAAGAGCCCTCTTTCCTCCGCTGTCCAGTTATTTCAGTTTTAGAGCTTTCAGACCCAGCGAGATCAATAAGGTGCTGCATCGGAACCCAAAATCAGATATTAGGGAACCAGAATGTAAGATACGGATGGCACCTGAATACACTTCTCAGAAACAAAGTGTGAATCAGTATGAGCTGTCTAGTAATTACCAATTGAGAGAGAGTAACATCTTCCCCATCCTCTCCCTTTCCATGTGGACTGCTCTCTATAGTCTGAAACACAAAGTAAACTCTAAGAGAAAGAGGAAAAGAAAGCGCCCATTTGTACAGGCACATTACTAACGGTCTAAGGCCTGTGTAGTTGCATAAAAGACAAGATAGATCCACCTTTACGAATAGGACTTACCAAGGTGAACATTGTGTGGCTCCGACTGCTAAAAAGATTGACATTATTTGAACCAACATGCCTGTGTTCTGCAATAATTCCGGCAAAGGAAAAATGTAGTCACAAGATCAAACAAAGCAGAAATAAGAGAGGTACCAATTGATACTGAACCATAATACCACACAGTCTATAAATCCACACAGTCTATAAACACATAATTTGTAAATACTGTTACTGAAAAGTTGAATTGTTGGATATAATAATGAAAGCTGATGCCTAAAGTAAACAGGTATATTACTTCAGGATCTCATACCTTCTCCAGATGCTATGAGGGATAGAGCATGCGCAGGGGATAACACAACCTCATCTTTAATACCTTCAACATATGTGCCCTATCAACATAAACACACACTAATACTACTGAAACTTACGACGCAACTGAAACTTGTATACACGAAATGAGACTTTCTCCTACACAAGTTACCTGAGAATCCTCTCGTATTCTTAGATTCTGCGCTGTCGGATCTAGCAAGTCATTAATGACCTGTAAGAATACATAAAAAGACCCTCATATCATGCACCAGGTGATTGAACAAGCATGTGAGAAAATAAATATTGTATCAGAACCTACCTCATTGTATATCTCAAGATATGAAACACGAAGAAGAAATTCCCGTTCTGGTGTCTGGATAGCTGAAACAAAATTAGCTAAAGAAGAGAGTGCTCCCAAATCCTTTTAAACACAACTAAAAGAGTAACCTATCACCTCCTGAATAATGCTGAATACATCCTTTACCGCCAACGGAATTATGCCAGGTGACCTTTGCTCACCCTAAATGCAACATATATCAAGTTAGTCGAGGTCTATTAGGCGCAGGTGCCACAGAAGTGGATGGGCATAAGAAAAATAAAGATATATGTCAATCTCTAAATAGTAACTTACATGCATTGTATGAGTCTTCCCACTGCTAGTAACTCCATAAGCAAACACAGTACCTGCACACATGACCAAAGGATGGACATTTCATGCGAAGGATTTCAAAAAGCACCTAACTTGAAACCTTCTCAACATCACACACTGTTCAACGAGATAAAGATGAAACATACCATTTATTCCTGACATTGCCCCACTTACAACTTGCTGAGCAGCAATATCATAAACACGGCGGGTAGTGGTTGGTGGACCAAATACTCTGTCTGCAGTCAACAAAAATACACTTAAAACAATTCCCCTAAACAGCTCAACAATCTTCCGGAGAATCACGAATTAAGAGTTTGTAAAATTTCACTAACCAAAGCCATAGCAAAGAGCTGGATTGTACTCATTTCTAATAGTGTAGTCTCCATCAGCATACCAAGCAATCTCATCTCCATTATTGACCTCTCGTGGACTATTTCAAAATTACCAAATCAAGTGTCAATAACTCAATCGCAGTCTCAAACAATCAAAATTAAGAAATACACAAAAAAAAAAAGAATGGGAACCGAAGCGCAGGCCAAATTAACCTAACCTGAGAGGACGGAAGCGAATCGTGACCGTGATATTCTCCTTCAGTTTAGAAGCAACAGCCGTACCGGAGGCGGCGGCGGATGTCCGATCAACGGAGGAGGTAGACGGGCTTGGACTAGAGCGTGGGAGTGGACTCGAAGAAGCAGCCAGGGAGGCAGAATACTGAGAGGAAGGAGTTTCCGGCCGTTTCGTCGGAATAGTCCCCGGCGATCTGCGAGGACGAGACGGCGAGATCATGGATGGTTTCTGTGACCTAGTTGCAGACATTGTTGGTCCAAGACTGAGAGGAATGATCCAAGAGACAGTGTGAGGGTTGAGAGAGAGCGAAAGAGAGAGAGAGGGGGAGAGGGAAGAAGCTCGTTCGCCGAAATCAATGGAGGTCACGTCATATATGGGATTTTTATTTTCCCACTCCCTCCAAAAAAATAAAAACCAATAAATTGACTGACGGAAATAACCTCAGATATTAAAGTGGTGCTACCTAATTGGTTACAAAACAATTCTATCAAAATGATTCTCTTATTTTTTTGTATTTGTGTATATGTAACTCTGCAAGACTGCAACCATGAAATGCTACAAAATTATTATCACATGGAGGATATAAATAAATAAGTTTCTGAACTGACAGAAAGGAATTAAATAATTTGCTGAGCTGCCAAAATAGTAATATTCTGAATTCAAATTTTTTTGTTTCTAAGAAAAATTCATTTTTTGGTAATGTTTATCTCAGGGTACAGAGCAACATTATTTTGTAATTTTGTGATCTTAGTGTAAATAACTAAAATGTCCTCACCTAATCGTTATTTTCGAGGGTAGGTTCGAAATAACTCCAACAAAACAATGGAGACTATTAAAAAATTATTATATAACTCGCCATAGTGATGAATAAAACTCCATGTGTGTTTCAACTTTTAGTTTTTTTTTTTATTGTGCATGCACAAATCGAGCAAACCTATCATCATCGTACAAGATTTATGTTGGTAAAATCCCACTTTGATGTGTGATAGAGATATAGCAATTTTTAACAGTAGCTCACTGACGATTGTGTTTTGTTGTTTTGTGGTTTTTCGAAACAATTGATAGGTTGACCAATTAAGATACAGTGCCCAAAACTTGTGTTCTATGTGGTCCTTTTGGGTAACATATCACACAATCTAGCTGTTGCCCCTGAAGCAGTATGGAGCCCAAGTACCATTAATATGATTTTTCAAAAAATGAAAAATAATTGAATGCATCAGATGATCTATGAATTGATCTTGTGCAAGGCTGTAGATTCAATAACTTTTTGCTAGCAATTAGAGCTTCTCATTCAGGTGTATAACATTTTAGGTGTACATTATTCATTAATTAATATGGGCTATTCATTGCCCAAAACAGGTGTATATATTAATTAAGGTCTCTATTAAAGCTTCATGGCCCATTTATCTCTACATAATCTCAACACATACAAATTGAGGAAATCTTCACTAAAAATGCCCATTGTTCATCAAGACATAATTTAAAGCGGTGTTATTCAAATCCATTTTGTTTCTTTTCGTACTCTATCTTTTGGAAGTCAAATTACTTTTGTTTAGAGAAGATTTTCCTTTCTTGTCTAATTTTGTATATATATTTATATATGTTATGGGTATATAAAATTTATTCATTTCCAAAACAGGAAATGGCAAGTCAATAGAATACTAAATGACATGTAACTTTGGTTGGACTTGGACAGATACAAAGCAGGGAAATCTGAAAAAACTAATTTCTTTCATATTTTAATAGGATACATAAAGGTAATATTATGTTTCCCATATTTTGCATCCTATCAATAACGTAACAAAAACTCCAATATCAATCCATTGTGACCAAAAGTCTATATATTATTCACCAAAAAAAAAAGTCTATATATTATAATCAACACATATTGTAGCAACTTCACCATTCACCAATCAACATTGTATAAATCTCTGAAAGAATGGCTTCCTATCTCTTGGTCCAATGTCTTTTCTCAATTCTTCTCATAAACTTCTGTCGGAGCTCTATAGCCGCAAAAGACGATAGAAAGGCAATTCATTCTTCTATTTTTAAGGTCGATTCAATAGATTAAGAACTAAAAGTATTCTTCTATAACTATAATAATTAATAATCAACAGTAGTAATATTGCAGGTGTACATTATTTACACGGGAGCTCTTCCATCAAAGATTGGTTACGTTCCTATGTCTCACCATCAAAATATCCTTGGAGAAATCATCGAGTCAAGGTTTAAATTAATACTCTTACCTTATTCCACGTTCTTAAATATTTGACGGTATAAAATTTTCACCAGTCTTTATTTGTCGTGAAGTTCTGTAGGAGAGTGTTTGGTCAGAAGCTATGGAAGAAGTTTCAATGGTTTTGCAGCCAATCTCACTGAAACTGAAAGAGATAAGCTTATTGGTGAGTTTTAAAGTTACCGCATCAAATTAAACGATTAAGGAACTTGAACCTAAAGCTAATTTTGTTTTGTTGATGGGTATGTATGTGTATGGTCTTTAGGTAGGGATGGAGTAGTTTCGGTATTCCCAAACGAGCTTTTGCAGCTTCAAACGACAAGATCTTGGGAGTTCATGGGATTTGGTGACAATATCCAACATGTCCCTAATATCGAGAGCAATATAATAATCGGTGTGATCGATGGTGGAATCTGGCCTGAATCTCGGAGTTTCACCGACGATGGATTCGGACCACCACCGGAAAAATGGAAGGGCACTTGCGCAGGAGGACACAACTTCACATGCAACAAGTAAAAACATACTTTTTAAAAGTCTTACGTAACACGAGAATGCTTGCATCACAAGAAAATGATTACCCTAGACAGAAGTAAACTTTAGTTAACTTTTTCGATTTTTTTCAGGAAAGTGATCGGAGCAAGATACTATATCGAGGATTCGGCGAGGGATATTCGAGGCCACGGTTCACACACGTCATCCACCGCAGCCGGAAACAGAGTAGAAGGGCAGAATTTGCACGGCTTAGCAACAGGGACGATGAGAGGAGGTGTGCCTTCAGCTAGAATCGCTGTATACAAAGTCTGTGGACCTGACGGATGCGCCATGGAGGCAATATTGGCTGCTCTGGACGATGCTATAGCCGATGGAGTCGATGTTATAAGTATTTCAATCGTTGGAGATAACTATGCTTTTGATAAAGACACTCTAGCCATCGGATCATTCTATGCAATGTCTAAAGGGATTATAACCGTCGCATCTGGTGGAAACAAAGGTCCTAGTCCCGGACAAGCCTGTAACGTTGCGCCGTGGATATTCACTGTGGCTGCTAGTAGCACTGATCGGAAATTTGTCACCAAAGTTGTTACCGGAGATGGCAAGACGATAGTTGTAAGTGCCGATATTTTTTATTTTCTCAATGCTTACATGAAAATATTTATCATTACCATGGTTAAATATATGTATATAAACAGGGAACATCAATCAATGTTTTCGACTTAAAAGGTGAACAAAATTATCCTTTGGCTAATGGGAATACAACTTCAATCTCATGTACTGAAGAACAAGCAAGGTAAACTAAAACGCAGACTAATCACATGAATAGCTAATAACTTTGATGTTTATGTATATTTATCTTTTACGTATGATCTTGCTAATGTTCTTGTTGAGTTGTAATTAAGGAATTGCGACAAGGGTTGCATCGACTTGGTGATGGACAAGATCGCGGTGTGTGATAAACAAACCGATGCTCGTGAACTTAAAGCCAAAGGAGCCAGAGGGGTTATCTATAGAGTATCTAATAATGATAATCCTCGTCTTAATCCTATCCCCGTTGCTAACTTAGATGATACCAACTATCAATCGCTCATTTCTTACATTACCTCTACACCGTAAGGAAACTTTTTTTTTTTCATTACATACTTAATTTCATTGCATTTTATTAATTTTATTTTCGATTTTTTATAGAAATCCGGTAGGATGTATACTGAAGAGTGAGACTGTAAAGGACACCAACGCTCCCATTGTTGCTTCATTTTCTTCTCGTGGTCCAAACACTATCGTTAGCGATATTTTGAAGGTAAAACACTATCAACTTGAACCTTCACTCAACAAACTCACAAACACTGTCAACTTGACGAATGCAGCCGGATATAACAGCACCGGGGGTGAGTATATTCGCAGCATATTCACCGGTAGCAGCCACCGCGATCGGAGAAAACGTGGATTACTATTTCTTGTCAGGGACGTCTATGTCTTGCCCTCATGTCGCAGGTGTTGCTGCTTACGTCAAGACACTCCGTCCTCATTGGTCTCCTTCCGCTATCAAATCCGCTATCATGACTACCGGTACGTAAATTACTTACACTACACAACAAAACATCAAATTTTATAAATCTTACATGTCTTTTACGTAAGTAGCTTATGTTTTGGCGCAGCTTGGGGGATGAATGCTTCCAGAAACATTGGAGCAGAATTCGCATATGGATCAGGACATGTTAACCCTACAAAAGCTGCTGATCCAGGGCTTATTTATGAATCAACTAAAGATGACTATTTGAAAATGCTCTGCTCTCTCAACTACACATCACAAGCCCTAGCTACTATCGTGGGCTCCACTTTCAATTGTTCTCAAGAATCTAAGCTTAACGCTAGAAATCTCAACTACCCTTCAATGTCTGCCAAAGTTGCAACTAACTCATCATCTTCGGATATCACATTTTCAAGAACGGTCAAAAACGTTGGGAAAGCAAGATCAACGTACAAGGCACAATTGACTACGGACCCTAGACTTAGCGTCAGAGTCGATCCAAATACGCTCTCTTTTAACTCCTTGGACGAAAAGAAGTCTTTCACTGTTACAATCTCCGGTAACAATCTTTCTAGTATCTCTGGTATCGCGGCCGCATCTCTGGTTTGGTCGGATGGATCTTACTCAGTGAGAAGTCCAATCGTTGCCTATACTTAGAATATCAACCGAGGAACTCAGACAAGAAATAAGGATAGTGTTTGGTTTCCATCTATTTTTCATTAGACTTAATGTACGCAAGAGTAAATAAATCTACCATTACATGCATAATGCATCATTACTGTTCTCAAAATATAACAACACCAAATGATGTTTTTCAACCAAAAAATTCCAAGATTTTAGCGGCAACCAACAAACTAAGGAATATATGTGTTCTGAAGACTAATATTTTTATTCATTTCCGGGTCTACGAGGACCATGGTGAGCTCGAGTTCTGCGTTTCGAGCCTTTCCTTGCGAATTTAGACTCTCTGCTCACTCTAATACCATGAGCATGACCAACACCACCACCCTGTTGGCTTAAACAGGAGTCAGGACGATGATCTTTCCTCACACCAACACTAACACGATGGCTCCTTGCTCTCAGAGACTTTCTAAGTCGCTCTTCTTTTCTGCATTCTCGTCTCGATCTTTGATATCTCAACGACCCATCATCATCACTATCATCGTCATCACCGCTATCATCCTCTGTATATCTGCGTCTTCTTTGGCGCTTAATACGCAGAAGATTGTTGCAGAAGAAACTGAAGCAGTTGCTGAGAATGTAGAACCAACAAGAGACTAAACCCCAGAGGAGACTCCAGAAACCGTGGATGATGCAATGCCAAAACCCAACTTTGTATAACATGTAGACGAAGAATAGGAAGACGTAGGTTACGATTAGGATCAAAGCGGTTTTAGCAAGATTAGCCACGCAGAAATTCTCGACGTAGCATATGAAATCCCACGGTGATGGACAAGCGGTACTGTTTCAAGCAAGAATGTTTTCATGTTTCCGATTAGCAAAATCAGTAAACTTTAAAAGAAGATAGAAGTTAGATGGTTTTTTGGGAAATTACCTGCAAGATTTTCCAGAGAGAAAGTCAAGTGGAGAACCAAAGAAGTCTCCGATGGAATGAGAGAAACCGGTGAAGAACGAGTCCATCACGTTACCCATTTTCACAAGCAATTTCCGGATTAACAGAGAAAACAAGCCGATCAAATTAAGACATGAAATCAGAGAGGTTTGAGAAGGAGAAAGCCGATATAACTGCTTTAGATCTTTGGTGGTTACTGTGAGTTTTTAGTTTCCTCTGTTTTCTTTATTTTTGTTTCTTTTCGTAACCAGTGATATTAATCCAGCCTATGTTTTTAACATAGATTAAATCATTGGTGTGAATTAATACTTTTGTGTCAATCTTTTTAAAATGATGTAAACTAATAATGTTCGTAAAAAAAATGTAGGGTATTGGTTCTTGGAATTCCATAAAATTTAAAGGAATTGAAGATTTTATTAAATTCTTGTGTTATTTTTTTTTTTTGTCAACAACCTCTATTTCTAAAATAGTTCGGAAATCCAAGCTGGAGAAACTGAGTTTACATAATACACATCAGTAGGTAGAGCTCGAGCACTCTGTACTAACTTGTCCGCCTTCGTGTTATTTAAGTATGTATTTTTTTACTTTCTTTAAATTCCGGTGTTATTCAACTTATCCGTTTTTCAATTCTATTAAATTTCGGTGTTATTCAATATCGGAATGTATTTGGTGATATTGTCATTAAATTTCTTCCAGTTTTTGCAAAGATTTTAAAATCTATTAATCTTAAATCATATACTCCCTCTGTTTCAATATATAAGGGATTTAAGGTTTTTGCACACAGATTAAGAACCCATTTAATTTTTGTACTTTTTGAAATAAAATATATTTTATCATCAATTCCAAAACATTTCAACCAATGAAAAAGAAATCTACAGAATATAAATAATTAAAAGTAATAAAAACACATTTACTTTTGCACAACCCCTTATATTTTGAAACAAAAACAAAACTCTAAAACCCTTTATATATTGAAACAGAGGGAGTATATAAAAAGAGGTCAATCCTCTCCATATTGTTGACACATGGATACAAGAGAAAATGACACATGTTATATAATTTTTATTTTTAAAAACAAAAATTCAAAAGTTTAATATAACATTAATGCAACTTTTGGTCTTCTTTTGTGTTTATTGTAACTTACAAAATATATTTTCCTATAATTTTCACTTTAAAAAAAAATATCCAAAAGTTTAATGGAACTTCAATGCAACTTTTGGTTTTCTTTTGTGTCCATTGTAACTTATAAAATAAAGAAAATATTATATCACTTTAAAATTATTATCTTCGTCATCAATCTTGAATCACTATTAAACATTTAAGTTCTCTTAATATATAGAGAATTGGATTCAAAAAAAAACCGATGGCAGAGAAGCAGAGTGTGTTCCACGTAGTGGTGAATAAATAAAGAGTGTCAAGGGTATAAAAACATGTGGTATTATGCAAAACTATATATTTGAAAGTCTAATGAAGCAAATAAGAATTAAAATTTGAGTGTTATTTGGTTAAAAGATTAATCACAAATCTATAATTGTTTTATACTCCAAGCAAATAAGAATTAAAATACGAGTGTTATTTGGATTATTGAAATAAATATTTTTCTTAAACTATAACAATAAGAAAACCCGTGCATATGCGCAGACATAAGTCTAGTTCTTTTGATTTCTTTCTAGCTGTAGGCTTCTAGCAACCAATACCCCTAAACTAATGTTAAATTTGAATTCAAGCAAACCAAATTAAACCAAATGGGCGTTTAAACAAAAGCCCATTCGAGATTTTAAAACCGTCCCCACCGACAATAATGCCCGAACCGTACGCAGTCACTGGCTCACACTGAACTGGAGTGGAATCTAGCGAGCTCATTCATGTAGGTACAATTTTCTGTCACTCGAATCCTCTCAACGACTGATTATCTTAAAACTCTTTGAAATTTGTGGGAAGATTTGCTCGATTCTTCATCCAACAAAAGTTTTTTTCTTTTTCGATTTAAATGTAGAGAACATGGATAGGGTGAGCAGCTTGCCAGATTCTCTGCTATGTGAGGTACTCTTGAATCTCTCAACAGCTGAGGTGGTTAGGACTAGCGTCTTATCCAGCAGATGGATAAATCTCTGGAAAAACGTACCTGCTTTGGACTTGGAGACTTATCATTTCCCAGATCAAGACTCGTTCGTGAGCTTCGTCGATAGGTTTCTGGGTTTTCACAGCGGTTCCTGCTTACATAGCTTTAACTTAAAGTACCATTACACTGAAGGAGGTCCTCACGTCACGCGGTGGATCAACACTGTCGTTAACCGCCGGAAAGTTAAACATATCGATCTTCTGAACAATTCATGGGATGTTCACATGCCTACAACACTCTACACTTGCGAGAGCTTGGTTTCTTTAGCGCTCGGTGGCGTAACCTTGCCTGATCCCAAGTCTGTGTCTTTACCTTTTCTCAAACACATCTATCTCAGCCGGGTTGGGTTTGCGAACGATTCGGCTTTCGAAATGCTCATCTCAGCCTCTCCGGTTCTCGAGAGCGTAAGGTTATCGAATGTTTCCTCTCACAATGTAAATTGTTTCCGTGTGTGCTCCAAGTCTCTACTGAGCCTCTCTCACATCGGCCGGATTATCGGCGGTGGTGAGAAAGAGCTAGTGTTTGCAATTGATGCTCCCAGGCTTCACAGCCTCTACCTCCTTGATGGTGTCATTGCAAGTTTCATTGTAAAGAATCTTGGATCCCTTGTTATGGTGGATCTCCATGTTGGGTTTGGAAGGAGGTTCGATCCCAATAATCTACCAAAGATCAACATGATCCGTGACTTCTTCAATGGGATCTCCACTGTTAAACATATGGTCATCTCTCCGGATACTCTCGTGGTGATCTATTCTTCAAGATTGTTTGTTATTTTTATTACTTTGAGAAAAAGATTTTCATTACAAGACGTGTCATGTGTTTTTGGTTTGTTTCTCGTTCAGGTCGTCTATGATTACTTGAGATGTCAACCACTGCCACTATTTCCCAACCTAACTTCCATGCGTGTCACCGGCTACAATTGGCAACTGTTGCTACCTTTTCTTGAGAGCTGCCCGAATTTAAAACGTCTTGTCTTGGTTAGTATTTTTTTTTATTTTTATTGAACATTGTTATAATGCAAATGGTGAAAGTGTTACATATATAAACTTTTGTTTGAGGATTCGGTTGTGCTTTCAGGGATCAGAGAGAAACCCCCCGGAGAAGGAAGGAGTTAGTATTTCATATGGACGTCCATGTTTCTTGTCGTCTCTTGAGTATGTTGAGATACAAAGGCCATGGACGGATCCACCAAGGAAGGAGAATCTGGTATCCTCAGAAGACCGGTTAGTGACTTATTTTCTTGAGAACTCAACACTATGCTTGGATGATTCCACAAAGGAAGGAGAATCTGTTATCCTCAAAAGACCCCTTACTACTCCCAAGAGTCCAAGACTCTCTGCCTCAAGAAATTGACTCTATTCTTGGATAAACGAACTCTTTTCTGTTCCAAGACTATCTAGCTCTTGCCAAATTGTTGTTCTCTGATCCTCTTAGTCATCGACCATGAACAAACAGTCTTGTCTTTTGAGTATTAAGTTTATGAGAACTCTGTGTTTCTACTTGGTTTGTGATCATTTTAATGATCTGTAAGTTGGAAGAAGATTATATGTTTAGCTTCGAAAGATATGCGTTTCCACTAATATATTCAGCCTGTAGTTGGAAGAAGCAATAGACTCCAAAAATGAAGGATAAAATTTGTATGCTTCAATTGAACCAATACTCGGTCTCTACGAAATTGAACATATCCAAGAGGGAAAATTAAACTTTCATCCAGAAGCCATAATTTCAGAGAAGGTTAATAATCTACATAAAACCGGATAACAGCGAAACACAGCTTGGAAAGAAGCAGATGATGATGAAACAGAATCAATCCATCCTTCCTTTTAGGATCCTCTCTTTAACTTCAGTTGGTGTTCTGCATTACATAACCATGCAAAGTATGTTTAAGAAACTAATTTTGGATTACAAAAATGTGAGGAGAAAGTAGAAATGGGAACTTACACAACGTAGACATGCCCTCCCCAACCACTCAGACAATCACGGTCAACTGACGAGAGAAGTGCTTGTGAAATTGTCTCAAACAGTTCCTCGGCTTCCTGAAATATTCCCTATTTGTTAAACCACATTCTCGATACAGCGAATAGGTAAGCATGGCTACCAAACTTGGACTTCAAAACACTTTGACAAATTGCATTATACCCAAGTGAAAACTAATGGCTACTGTAATTTTTAATCCATGACTGAGGAACGTTCCCATTTGTTCAACCATAGTTTTTGATACAGTGATCATGCACTCTAATTTTCACACTATATCTAGATTTCTTTTGGATGAAAGATTCCATAAGTTTGGATATAGTAACACTAACACCAGCCCCTTAAGCCTACCAAACTCCATTGACACACTGTGGTTACTTAAGCATTTATATTTGAGCGATTTGGTAATTAAAAACAGATGATATAGTTGTTTCTGGACATACCATGTCTGGCTTGTACATTGCCTCGCAAGCCCCATATAGTGATTCAGAAGCAGTTCCAGAAACAACGAAATCTTTAGCCAACTCTCTGCATTCAGAAAAGAATCAGGTATTATAATATTTCCACCATTTAACAGTTATACCAAGCAGCAAAAGAAAATCAAAAGTAATCAAGACCTCATTTTCGAGACAGCATACAAAAGTGAAAAACGGATGGAAATAACTAACAACATGAGGAAAAGAAAATTGAATCATGGGCAATGCCGACTCATATGACTATGCATCAGTATACACAAGTCCAACAAAATCTCCAACCACAAGGAAAATAAATGACATCCACGAAACATCTATACAAGTGACTGGAATTATACACACTGTACTAACCAAGCTAAATGACATTAAATAAGGTTAACATTGGAAGTGTAAGCAAGAAAGGATATGAGCTTACTTAGCTCCAATGGAGTCCATGGTGCAAATGAAGGGCTTGTCATCGTCTCCCAAGCCAGCAATCACTGGTTGGCATAAGTATGGACCAAATCTGTAACGAAGCACCAAATCTGATTATCTTCCTATGTCGTTACACAGTGACAAAACTAAGCAGATATCAGTCCTAACCAGAATCATACTTCGATACAGGAGACTAATGAAGCAAATCGATTTTGATCAAGTAGCCAGCTCAATAAGAAAGCAGTAACATGGACCAACCTCTTCTCATAAAGAATGGCGGAGACAAGACTTGCGAAAGTCTCAGGCTTCATGTCTCTCTCTTCCCGGAGCTGATAAAGCTTATGACGAAACACCAGGCGCTGGTACCTTCAAACCCCAAAGACAAACCAAGAGCAAAATCTTAGAGAAGAAGAAGATATAAAAAAAAAGGGAGCATCTGGGAAGCTTGCAGGATGGTTTACAGAGTCTGGACATCGGTGGCGAGGCCAGAAAGGCCGATGAAGACACGATCGTGGATCTTGGAGATTCTCTTGAAATCAGTGGCGATAGTCTGTAGCTGCACACCGAGTCTCCGATCACTGGCGATGGCGAAGCAGTTCTTCCCCACCATAGCCACTACGGCACTTCCATTGTACTCGAAGATCTACATCACCACAATACCCAAACAATCCATCGATTAGTTACCATCAACCCAGTGATATGCTGAGAACGATAGGAGCTAAGAGTTTCCGAAATCCAATTGAAACAACTGGTGAGATTAACTTACCGACATCGGAAAATTAGGGCTATCAGAGTGAAATTGGAGCTTTTCCGAACGGAGAAGAAATCTGAGAAAGAGGAGGAGGAGAGAGAGAGTAAGTAAAGTCGACGGTGGCTTGGAAGAAACTCCAGCCAATATTTCTTTTTCGCCGATTCAGTATAGTTGTTGGGCCTGTATATGGGCCTATTGGCTAGTAGACATTAAAGCCAAATCAATTCGTGTCAAGTGTAAACTGTAACGAAACAAACGAACCAGTCCCGGGTACCAATCAAAATCACTACGATTCCAGAGATTTGTGAAGAGTATACAAACAATTACAAGTAGGAATGAAAAGTTAACAAGGTTTGAAATTTCCTAGGAGATGTTGGTCGTAACGGACATCAAAGCTCGTTCTCCAAATCTAAAAAGAAGGCGAAATGCTGCATCAGCTTTTGAATTTCCCTAGACTAAGGCTCTGGAATTTACACACTTTGAGAAGCTTTGCGTTTGTGGTGAGAGCAGTTTCAGCTCGAAGAAAGACGAAATTGCTAAGCAGGACACAATCTTGAAGGGTAAGGCAAAGGGCAAACAGGCCGAGCGAAATGATGCCTTAGGTCAGGGCTTCATTGCCTTTTCTTTCCGCAGATTTTTCCGGTTGGATGGGCTGAGAAAGCGACTGCAAGAGAGTTTTTTGTGCGGGTAACTCAGCGATGAAGAGCAACGTTTGAGCCCAACCAGCATATTCTCCATATTTACTCACAAATGCTTCTGCCACTCGGCTGCATAGTTTAAGTGTCAGTTTAGTACCAGCAAGCTCTGGCATAAGGTACCTTGTGGCGATCTGATTCATTTACCCAAAACAAAACAAAAGACCTACTTTAGTCACCGCAAAAATCCTAGCTATTGTTAAATACTTAAATCTCAATAAAACTAAGCAACTACGAAATCAAAAAACGGCAGATTCGATGAGGATTTTTTGTTACCTGCCACACATGTGTGTCAACGGGAATGGCACTATGCTGACCAAGAGCAAACAGAGCTATACAAGCTGCTACCTTTGGACCAACACCAGGCAATGTACACAGAGCAGCAACTGCATCTTGGAGATCCATTTTGCGTAGAGAGAGAAGCCATTCATCGCCACCACCTGGTTTTGCTTGCAAAGCACTTACTGTACCCGTTATGTATTTGGCTCTGCTCACCAGAACATGTATAACCAAAATCAGAGTTTGCTACTGAAGACAAAACTAATCAAAATGGAGTGTATAAGCTTCAAGCAAAGTGTTATCCTTTATAGCTAATTGAACATGATGCAACTTGATATTTGTTTGCTAGGATAAGGAGCAACCACTAGAGCAGATGAAATCATCGAAAGGCAGTAAATTTAGAAAGTGAAGAAGCACCTGTATCCAAAACCAGCCTTTCTAAACTCTTGTTCAGAAACCTTAGATAACCGGTCCAACGATGGGAACTGATGAAACTCAATTCCGTCAATCTCACCCAAATGCACCCCTAACGACGAGACGAAATCCACCATCTTCGTAATCCTGGCGATGTTATTGTTCGATGAGCACAAAAACTGTATTAAACACTCGAGCGGATCCTGCCTCAGCACACGAGCGCCACGGAGATGATTCGCCAGCTCTCCGAAACGAGGATCCTTCTCCGAGAAATCAGACCATAGCTCGGTTAGCGAGATCTCAGCATTGAGAAAATCGAGCAGCGCAAGCTCCGCGGATTTAGGGCTATTGCTGCAATGGACGCAGTACGAAACCGTGTCGTCTCCCGGACGTTGCCTGAGAGAGACGAGATGAGGCCCAATCGATCCGCTGTACTGAATCGCTCCAGTCTGCTTCCACCGGAATGTTTGACCCGTCGGAAAAGTTAACGGCAGAGTGAGCTCCGTCTGGGTGAGTTTCAACGGGAACCAAATTGGTTTTCCTGTTCTGTGTAGCTTCTGTTTGAGAATCGGCGTTGCCGGAGGAGACAGTGGTGGTTTCGCGGTGGCAGAGATCGACGGTGGAGATATAGCCCGAGGTCTCTTCATCGCCGTTGGCAGTTAACGGAATCGCAGCAGTTTTTGTGCGCGACGGACGGACTAATAGAACCAGTTCAACCGGTTTAAACCGAAATCATACAAAGTAATTATATTCAGTGTTAACCGAGTTATTTAAGAACCGAAACATTAAACCGAAAATCGTAATTGGTCAGCGAAGCTTGAATTTCGAAGTCAGACCTTCGTCGTCTTCCAAACCCTCTTGTTGTGGAAGAGGGTTAGGTTCACCAGCAAGAGAATGAATAAATAGAGAGAGTAGCGAAGACAATGGCGAAAGAAATTCCCAAGAAGGTTTGCTGTGTTGGTCGATAGCTGGAAACGAGAGCGACTCGGAGCATAGAAGAAGAGAAGGACGAAGAAAGCAAGTCTCTTACTCTATGCGCTTTCCTTTAATTCAACTCTCACGAATCAGAGACCCCACCCATCTCTCTCTCTTCACCCACAAAAATGCCAGCTTCTGAAGGTAAATTACATATGGAAAGTCATTTCCATCTTTATCTCCCTCAAAAATCCAATTTTGAATTCGGATTTGAACTAACCACATAGATCGTATCACTGGGTATTTCGACTGTGCGAGAATTCGTATGAATTTTGATTTTTTTGCTATTAATATTCCGTCGCAGATAGGAGGGGGAAATGGAAACGGCGGAAGCGAGGGGGATTATCGGCGAGGAAGCCGAAGCAAGAGGAGGAAGATATGGAGGAGGAAGAAGAGGAGAACAACGAGGAGATGGAGGATGCTGATAATGCCGACGAGCTTCAGCAAAATGGTGGCGCAACTCCCGATCCGGGACCCGGTATTGGCGAGGTAGTGGAAGACGGTGGTACGCGCATCTCTGATTTCCCCTCCGTGGTCCGGCGCGCGGTAATCCGGCCGCACGCGTCTGTGACGGCTGTTGTGGCGGCTGAGAGAGCTGGTTTGAGAGGAGAGACTAGAGGGCAAGGCACGCTTCCGGCTCTGGAGAATATCTCGTTTGGGCAATTGCAGGCTTTATCCACTGTACCGGCTGATTCGCTGTCCTTTGATCCTGAGAGGAGTGATGGATCGTCTTCGGCTTATGTTATCTCCCCACCACCTATTCTGGGAGGAGACGGAGTTGTTAAACGGTTTGGGGGCCTGGCTCATGTCTTGCCTATGCATTCAGGTTTGTTTATTCTTTGTCATTCAGTTCATGAATCTGCATATAACTTATAGAGATGTAAGTGTTAACTTTTTGGAAATGTTTTTATGTGTTAAATGTGAGGCTTTATGCAGTTCAACTTCTGATGGTTGGTACTTGTAGCTTAATTCATATACTATGATTGCTTTGAACATTAGTCATAAGGGTGTCAACAATTTGTCCTACAAGTGATAAGTTTAAAGATATCTCAAAGAATCTGGCTTTTTCTCAATGATCATTTTCTCTATGTTCTTATGTTTTGTGTGTTGGAAAGGGAGAGTATTTGAACTTTTGCACTGATCTCTGTATTGATAAAACTAAAATATCTGCTGGATTTGAGTAGCCTGGTTGTATTATGTCAGATTTGTACCTTGAATGGATTAGGCAAGTGATGTGCTTCTAACTTTCACTTAGGCTATGTTCTTGTATTCCTGTGGTTCAAATGTATCCTGATTTTCCTCTTAGCTTATATTGAATTTATTATGAATTTGTTCCTAATTCTAGAATTTGTTCTTTTAATTTTGCTGTTACCTTTAAGCAGATTGGTTTGCACCAAACGCAGTAGATCGGCTTGAACGGCAAGTGGTGCCACAATTCTTCTCTGGAAAATCTCCAAATCATACACCCCAAAGTTATATAGAATTCAGGAACGCCATTGTTTCAAAATATTTGGAAAACCCTGAGAAGACACTGACTCTTTCTGATTGCCAAGGATTAGTAGATGGTGTTGACAGTGAAGATTTTGCGCGAGTTTTCCGTTTTCTTGATCACTGGGGTATAATCAATTACTGTGCCACTGCCCAATGTCAGCCTGCGCCTTCTAAAGATGTATCGGAAGTTAGGGAGGATACAAATGGTGAAGTCCACGTGCCGTCTGCTGCTTTAACATCTATTGATAGTTTGATCAAATTTGACAAGCCAAACTATAGACACAAGGCGGCTGGAGTCTATTCATCATCCTTGCCAAGTTTGGATGGTGACCTCCCTGACTTGGACATGATAATTCGTGAGCACCTATGCGATAATCATTGCCACCATTGTTCTCGACCGCTTCCAACTGCATACTTCCAATCCCAAAAGAAGGTTCCTAGCCTTCTTTCCCTACCTATTGCTCTTTATAGACTTCAAAGCGTATCTTGCTTACTGTTTCGGATGTTAGAGCGCTTCAAACTAATTGGTCGTCTTCTCTACTTTACAGGGGGATATACTCTTATGCTCTGATTGTTTTCACGATGCAAGATTTGTGGTTGGACATTCTTGTATTGACTTTGTAAGAGTGGATCCAACCAAAGAGTATGACGATCAAGACGGAGACAATTGGACTGCTCAGGAAACTCTCTTGCTTCTTGAAGCTGCGGAACTCTACAAGGAAAACTGGATTCAGGTTGCAGAGCATGTTGGTTCCAAATCAAAAGCTCAGTGCACCACTCATTTTCTTCGGTTAACTGCGAATTATAGCCTTTTGGAGAAGGTTGAGGTTCCAGGTGTGACGAATTCGACAAACCACACAAATGGATATGACCACAAAGGACCAGATTCAAATGGGGATTTACCTGGTGATTTTGTTTTCTTCCTCAAACAAATTTTAGCAGTGAATTATTGCTCGTGTTTATGTTCTTTGACACGCCAAACTCATTGTTGACTTGCTTCTGCAGAATCTTCGGAGCAAAGTTCTGACACTGAGATCAAGCTCCCTTTTCTGAAGTCTCCGAATCCGGTTATGACATTGGTTTGTGATTTTTTTCTTTTTGCTTCAGAATTCATATGCTCTTCTCATTATCCTTATGATCTCACCACTTGGAGATATCTCATATCTGAACCATGAATCGATTGTGCTGAGAGCTAATTTGTATGGATAATTTAAGAGTGAGAAAAAAAGTTGGTCCTCTATTAATCGTAAGTATGGGATATGATCTGATCTGATCTGACACGGCAACATTTTAGGTTGCATATTTGGCAACATCTGTTGGACCTCGAGTTGCTGCGTCCTGTGCACATGAGTCACTTGCGGTTTTATCAGAGGATGATAGGTTAGTGTATTCCATGATCTCTATCCATTTAAGAAAATCTTCGTCGCAGCTTTCATATCCTGAAACGTCTAAATATATCAAGGGTGAGATCCGAGGGAGTGCAAGGGAAAGAAGCCAGCTTACTTGAAGGACAAAATCAGCAGCAAGACGGTAAGACATTTGCTTGATTGTTTCTCCTTACAGTTCCTTTTTTTGGCTCCTTTGTTTTGTTAACCTCATCTTCAATACCTACATATGCTTTAACTGTAAAAGAAAACTCGGGAGCACATAAAACATGCCAAAATGGAGCAGAACCAGCAGCGACTCCACTGCCACAGGAAAAAATTATGGCAGCATATAGAGCCGGTCTATCAGCTGCAGCAACAAAAGCAAAACTGTTTGCCGATCATGAGGAACGTGAAATCCAAAGGCTCTCTGCAAATATCGTTAATCACCAGGTAAATAGCAGAACTAGTTGCTCATATACTTGGTTGATATAGCATTAATTGCTGATATGAGTTTAAAAAACCGGCAGCTGAAGAGGATGGAGCTGAAACTAAAGCAATTTGCAGAAATAGAAACATTGTTGATGAAAGAATGCGAACAAGTAGAGAAGACACGTCAGAGATTTGGTGCAGAGCGAGCTCGTATGCTCTCAACAAGATTCGGATCACCTGGAGGAGTCTCTCCACAGACTAGTAATAGTAACAATCTCCAAGGGATGTCTTTATCCACAGGTGGCAACAACATCAATTCTCTCCTCCAGCAGCAGCAGCAACAACAGCATGTCTCAGCTTGCTCATCACAACCAAGCATCATCCCTGGATTCAGCAACAACCCGCAGGTTCATGCGCAGATGCAGTTCATGGCACGCCAGCAACAGCAGCAGCAACAACAACAAGCTTTCTCCTTTGGGCCGAGATTGCCTCTGAATGCGATACAGACGAATGCAGGATCAACGGCTTCACCAAATGTCATGTTTGGCAACAACCCACTGAGTAACCCTGCAGCCGCAGCCGCGGGAGCATCAATCAACCAGCCTTCGTTTAGTCACCCGATGGTTAGGTCTTCCACTGGTTCTGGCTCAGGGTCCGGCTTAGGCTTAAACTAAGAGACCCCATCTCTTTAGCTTGTTTAGCTTATATCAGTTGCCATTATTATTTGAGCTAAGTTTATTGTCTTTGAGACCGTAGTGTTGTTCTAAGTTAGTATTGTCTTGTAGTAGCAAAACTTTCTGAATCATCATCATTGTGAATTAAACAGTTACCAAAAATCTATATGTCTATGTCACGTATCATCGTGATTCGTGACACATTTAGTTCATTTTCCTATAAAATCATTTCTGGAAAACAAATTCACTATAAAATGCACATGTAATTTCGTTGTTTTTTCACAATGAAAACCTCAGCTTCCTTTTCTCTTGATGAGAACTATGCAAGTTAAATTTTGATGTATTTCGTTTTTGGTCAACAAATGTAACGTTGCTTTTCAAAAATATTTCAGCTCAACAAAAAGAAGCCTTATTCTAAATTCCAGGTTGATGAAATTTTTATCTACTACGTTCTAACGGAGGCGATCACGAGCCATCCTTATAATGGTTTTCTTCTCATAAGAGCTCAAATCCGATTGAATCCGTTTCAGGGACGAACCACGAAGCGAAGGCGATGACGTTTTCGGCGAACTACACCTCGTCGAAACCGATCCCCGGCTAGAATCTTCCGACGCCGAAAACGTCGTCTCCGATTCGTAGAAATTGTCTGATTCCGATGACGTCGATTCCTCACCGGTCTTTTTTACATCGCCGGTCTTACTACTCTTCTTCAACCCAATCAATGACTTCAGAGAACGCCACCGGCGCGAAGTAGGGGACGAAGATCGCCAATATGGCTCCGGAGGTCGTAAAGAGTGGGAGGAATCGGAATCTGGAGACGGTTTGAGCTTAAAAGACGACGGTGGAGCAAACGGAGAGACTGGGCGGGTTTTGGAGATTGAAGAAACAGACGAAGACGACGACGACGGCGACGGAGATGGCTGGTTCGACGGCGGAAACGGTTTTAATCGGAGAGGATGAAGTTTTTTGGGAGGTTGAAGAAGAGTGGAAACAGGATCATCGGGTTGGGGATTTCGGGTCTTGGGCACACCGGGTCGGATCTCCCAGTTAAAAGGCACAGCTCCGGGTCTCTTGAATGAATCGTCACCGTCGACCATTGGGCTCACAACAACAACAACAAAGCGTTTTCTCTTCTGATTAGTTTGAAAGAAGATATATAACAAAACTACTTATAGTTGAGATCAATTATTTTTAGAACGTAAAACCAGTTTTCGACTGTTTTTATGTGAAACTGTAAAAGATTCAACGATTTTTTGACAGAAACTTATTTATGGCATTGCAAATGGATTTGGATGTGTATTCAAACCTTCTCTTTATGTGTGATATGGAGGATCTACGTATATTAATACACTTGTATCTTATTACATTTTAGGAAGATCTTAATTATTGGTTTCAGTTTATGCAAAAATATACTACTATATCAATTAATTACCATATCTGTTCTTGTATGTTGTGATTACGAAAGAGAATGTCTGAGGAGTGTGTGAGTAGTTTTGGTTCGACACTATCTTTTCGCTAATTCTATCTGCAATACCTCTGTAACAAACTAACAACACTTAACAACCAAAAGAGGGTAACAAACTAACAACAAAATTCATGTTTTGTCTGCAAACGACTCCACAATGTTTTTGTCAAAACGCAAAGCGTGACAAGTGGCATCATGATGATAGCTTATAAAGCAGAGGTCCGTTTCCAAGCAAAAAAAAAACAAAATTAAGAAGCAGAGCTTTAAAGGGAAATTGGTTTTAGAAGTCTTGAGCCATTTGTGAGAGAGCACGAATTGTAATACTTGCCACTTCCAGAAGCTGCAAGTACTCATCCGCACCATCTACAAGTCGCTGGATGCATTGAAAAAGGGAAAAATATATGTGATGTTGGTGATTGGTCTCACTTGAGTCTCCAAACAGAAGTAACCAAAAGAAGAGAAGTGAGAAGATCTATCTTACCTTGTCTGTTTCACCTAGACATTTGCAGATCTCAGCCTTTTGCTTGTCTGTTATCTCATCACCAGCCTCAACGACTATATCAAATAACTGAAAATGAGGTGTATCAGAAGCGGTAATAACCACAACTACAAGACTTACTTGTGCGAATAGATAAAAGAGGGAAATAGAAAACCTGATTGATGATTTGAGCTGCAGGATATCCTTCTGCAACTATGTTATCAACTTCCTTGTTTGCAATATCGAAGTCACCACTTTTGCAGGCAGTAAAAAGACTCTTGACTACCTCCAAAGGGACCACCTGATAGGTTCACAACACAGAGAAAAAGTAACTACCGTGAATTCTCGCGAAACTATTATCCGGGGATTATCTTCATCCTTACCCCAGATACGTCGAGTAAATCTTTGGAAGTTATTGTTGATCCAAACAATCGAGCACCACTCTGTAATATCCAAGGAGAAACAACTGGTTTTACATCTCTACAGTTAAGTTCGTCCAATAACAAAAATCTTCATGTGTAGTTTAATCTTACCTGCAGATATGTGATGGCTCTACGGAGATCACCTTGTGATATGGAGCTCAAAGTTGAAAGAGCCTACACCGGAAAATAGCTAGTATAAGCAGCTTTGACAAAAAAGACTAAGAGAAAAAAAGGCAAACCTTAAAGCATATTTGCACACCTCTCCACCAAGGTTGAGACCTTCTTCATGACAAATATGCAATATACGGTTACTCATGACTTCTTCAGAAAGTGGTTTAAACCTGAACTTGGCACATCTTGAAGCAAGGGGCTCTATGATCCTTGAGAACAAGAAATAAAAGTTGTAAGGGTGATCAAACAAGGGGTCACATCTTGAAAACAATTATGAGCCTCCAAATTTTAACAGAGAGAAAAAGTGCAGAACAAATGAGAGGGATATGCAAATTAATGGAAGAGTAGAGAAGACAAAATGGACCAACATTTGGGCAGTATAGTAAAAGAAAGTACCTGCTGATATAATTACATATGAAAAAGAATCTGGTAACTTTGGAGTAAGTTTCCATGGTGCGCCTCAGGGCGTTCTGCACAGTTTAGTAACGTAGTTTATGGTAAACACATTTCTAAGAACCAAAATGTGGTGGTAAAAGATGTTCAACGTACCTGAGCATCTTCCGTCATCGAATCAGCCTCATCTAGGATGATGATCTTAAACGCCGGGCAAGGATAACCACTGAAATATCATGTCGTAGTCCTAGATGAAATACAAACCACACACAGAAACAGAAACGAGAAACTGGAAAAAATAAATAAAAGGTTTACATACCCTTGACGGTTATTAGTTCCAACAGCAACAGCAGCAAAATCCTTGATCTTAGTCCGAACAACATTAATACCTCTGTCATCACTAGCATTTAGCTCCAACACTCTAGACTTGTATAATTCAGGTCTGTAAAAACTCTTTTTAGTTAGTTCACATGTCATTTGCTCAAAAAAATTAAGATTGAAGTCACACCAAAAAAGAAAAAGCAAATCAATTACACTCTCGTGATATGTATACATTTGTTATATGAACCCCAAAAGAAGCTTCAACTAACTCCATTGAGACAATCATGAAACTAAGAACACGAAAATTTAGCTACAAATTGCTTGAAGGAGGATAAAATCCAAATTCCTAAACACTTACATAGCAACACCATAATGGCTGCTATTATTATGAACTATAGTATACTGTCTCTAGCTACCTAATGGGTCAACTTGGTATATCATAATGCAACCACACAGTCAGGGAGTGAATTATCTCAGCATCTGAATCATCATATTAGAAGTCACAAGGTGTCATGCAAGCTAGCCCACACAAATGAATCAATCATATCTCCATCAACAACTACTGTATAATATAAAAGAGAAGCACAATTAAAATCAGAGATTCAGCTTTCAAAGAGTATCAGATGATTACCCAAAGAGCTGGTGAGCGATGGCAAGTGCCGTAGTGGTTTTCCCCGTACCTGGCGGCCCATAAAAGAGCATGTGCGGACACTAACACACACCAAAAAGACGAACTCAGAATCAAGAATTGAGATCCAAATTCGAACATTTAGGGTTTTCACACTTGTACCCGAAATCAAATGTACAAAATCAATTTCAAAAAATTAGGGATTTTTCGCGACCATTGCAGATAGCGAAGAGTATAGAAAATTACATTAGCAGTCTCGAGAGTGTTGGTGAGGACCCGGACCACCTCCTCCTGATGCGCGACGTCCTTAACCTGCTTCGGGCGGCTAAAATCAATTGGTAACAAACAAAAATCAATTAATCCAATACCATTTCCGCCAACGCAAATCACAAAAGCAGAAGAGTTGGGTATGAGACTGTACTATTTCTCAACCCATGGCTGTGAGCTCTGTAGAACTGGCGCCATTCCTCTCTTTTTCCTTTTCAGTTTATTTTCCCTTTCCCCGTGAAAGGAGGAGACTCCTTTATAACCTTGTTTATTGTTTTCTGGATTTTCCCGCTCCCGCCATAAAACCTCCAACTCAGTAAGAGGGTTTATAATCGTCCTGATACTTTAAGCAAATAAGCTTATTTTGGCGCTCCTATTTTGTTTGTTCTTAACGACATGACATTTGTGTTATCATTAAACATTGTTTACAAGATCATCTTGATACGATAGAAAACACAGAAATCATGAATAAAGCTCTTGGATAAATAAAAGTTTAAAGCTCTTGTTGACATTATGATACACATATACATGATACATCAACAGTCTCATTAGTACAAGTCTTATGCACATATAACAGTATTATTCAATATGATATGCATATACATTGGTTCCAAGCATCACTGCACCAGATCCGTGAAAAAGGATATTAACTTATGTACATATTAACATGAGATTTTTTGGCCTTTTAGTGTCGGCGACTTGTTGAGCCAGTGACAGTCATCGAACGCGCAGCTTGAATCATTCTTCCTACGCAACAACACGTCTCTAGGGTCGATAAACCGAGGAGCCCAAGCCGGTGTCCCATCTTCATAAGAGTTATGCGTCAGCCTCCTCAAACCAGAGCCGTCCAGTTTCACCGTGAAGATATCACCATACGGCTGGAAATGATGCGGGTTCGATATCGGCTCCGCTGAGATCCCAGCATAATCAGATGTAAAAACCAACGATTTACTGTCCGGACTAAAGATAGGATGGTTTGTTCTCCCACCAGACCCGCTTTGAATCAGCTTCCTCAACCCTGTTCCGTTCGGGTGGATCAGAAACAGCTCAAAGCTACCTGAGCCAGGTCTTTCTCGATCAGACGCAAACGCGATCCATTCTCCATCCGGTGACCAGCTGCTCATTGTGTCGCTCCATTCACCTTCTGTTAACCTCCGTAAACCGCCGGCTTCGCCTTTCTCAGCATCCATCAAGTAGAGGTTTTTATGACCGGACCGGCCCGAACGGAACACGATCCACTTCCCGTCCGGGGATGGCCAAGGGAAAGCATTGTTCTTCCCGTTCGTCGTTAGCCTTCTCACGGAAGATGATTTGTCAGCTGCGTCGACGTCGATGGAGATGATATCAACCTCTGTTCTCTCCGTAGCGAACGTTGGACCTGAGCTAGTGTACACGGTTCCTGGTCGAACCGGATCCCAAGCCGTCGAGAAAGCCATTCCGCTGTACACTTCACGCTGGTCAGAACCATCCGGCTTCACCACGTACACGCCAGGCATTTTGACGTATGCGATTCTATCACCTGAGGGAGAGAACGAAGGAAACGAACCGTCGATTCTAAAGAGCGAGAGATCCGTTTTGGTGGTTTGCATGTTCTCAAGAAAAAGCAGAGGACTTCTCCTTCCATTAGCCTCGCCTCTGCAGCTATGGTAACCGACGGTGGACGAATCAGGGGAGAGGAAAGGGTTCAAATGATGACTCTTCGGCGCCACTAAACGAGTCAACTCGATAAACTCGTTCCGTTTGAGATCAAACAGCTCCACGTGGCGGTAATCAATGCCTGGTCTCCTCGTAGCCACCGCTATGAAGTCGTGGTTGTTTGGTGACGTGGCCGGTGTGAAAGCGTGAAGTCCCGGTGGTGTGACTCGCTGGATTGTCACTGACTTTGTAGTCAACCGTCCGTTCTCAGGTAAGATGGCTCGGTAAACGCTAATCCAACCGTCGTCGCTTCTTCTGTGGAAATACAGAGTCGAGTCATCGACCCAACACGGCCAACCACCGTGCTCCACCACCTTGACTCGGTGAGTTCCGTCTCGTGTTAAGAATACGTAGATGTCCGTACTAAGCTCTGCAACTTCCCCTGTCCAGCCTCTTTCTCCGTACGAAGCCACCGCCGTCCAATTTCCGGAAGGAGACACTGCTGGGCTAAAATCGGCTACACCTCTCGGCGTCAACCGCCGAGTTAACCCAGTTCTTAACTCGGTAGAGTAAACGGCTGTCCAACTCGTCCTCGGCTCACCTGAGTTCTCGTGTGTTGACACGTAGACGAGAAACTCACCACTCAAACTAGGCTTATCTTTAAACGAATTTACAGTCGTGCCACTCCGACGATTGGCGTTGGATAGCAACGGAACTTGGACTCGAGACGTCGTCTCTAACATCGATCGTCGTTTGCTTTTGGAATCGGAGTCACCGCGGTAGATTAGATCGTAGTAGATGCTAGAAGTACCGTTTCTCTCGGTGACGTAGATGAGATGCAGAGGAGACGAATCTTCCGGCTGTATTAGTGATTCGTCGGGAAGGAGAGAGATGAGCGCCGGAGAAGGAGACGGAAAATATCCGTTGAAATTCACGGATTCTCCATCGGTGATCCGGAGCTCTCCCGAAATCGATGGAGGATGGCTCGTGGAGAGGGCGAATATGTCGAATTCGTAGCGTGATCGTCCTAGAGTGGTGAACACGATGGTGTCTCCACCGCCGGCGTTCGAATTCTCATAGTCCCCTGCCGATGCACGAAGCGGAAGAAGAAGGGACGCGAATAAGAGAATCTGAGCAATATCCATGGCGGATTGGTCGGTGGATGGCCACCAAGTAGAGACGATGTTCGAAGTTTTGATAAGGTGGGGACGATTTTTTCCGATGGTGGTGTAAGAGATGACGCCATTTTGGTTTTGTGTGGCGCTTTCGAGATAGTGTTTACACGTGGCAAATCAGACGTGGAATTTTTACTTACAAGTTACAAACGTTTCTGAAAAAATGTATAGATCAGATATCTATTATACACTTGAAAGATTTTCTTCTCTTGTATTCGACGAATAATGTAGTGAATTTTATCTACACTTTAGGAAAATAGTGTTTGGTCACACCAGCATGGCACACACGACAAACCAATATTGAGCTTTTTAAACTTTAATATAAGTGTTACACGAAATATTGAAAGACGTGGTTAGTGTTCATGGTTTTGGAACACTTTCAAAATCTTTATCATAGAATAAAGTGGCCAACAAGCAAATCTTAGTATTTTGTTTGTTTGTTCTGTCATCACTAACCTCAACGACAGTAGCAAATAATGAAAAGGAGTTGCATCAGAAGTGGTTATAAACTTAATCAGCATTTTGAACAACTAAGTTACCGGTAAGAAAAAAATGATTTTGTATTAGTTGAATACTATCAACATATCCGCAATGACTAGGGTCTAACCCCGAACATGGTTTACTTAACAAACAAAAGAAAGAAAACATAAATGGATATGAGAAGCGCAAAATGTATAGTCATTTTTAAAAACGTGAAAGATTGGAAAATATTGAATAGATGAAAGTTCATAGCTATATATTAATCATAGGCAATACTTAAACAAAGATATCATCTTTAACAAATTATCTAATTTGAAGAATAAAGCAACGTAACAAATCACTGTGAAGGAACACACATCATTGCGCGCTTACTCACTTTCACGGTCGGATTTTGCGACTTGAAATCTTCAAAAGAGCAACTAGGCCCAAACCTCTTGGGCCACGTCACGTCACCAGTAGCCTTGATCTTCGTGTACCACATCGGTGGTCCATCTTCCACCGAGTTGTGCGTCAGCCTCCTCAAACCAGACCCGTCCAAATTCACCATATAAATTTCACTGCTCGGAACGTTGAAATGCGGATTGCCGATTGGCTCCGCCGAGTGTGCGGCGTAAGTAGTAGTGAACACGATTCTCTTGCTGTCGGGACTAAACATCGGATGCATGGATACACCGCCGGTCAGATTTTGCGCCAACTTCCTTAAACCGGTCCCATCCGGGTGAACCACGTACAAATTCATCAACAACGTACCGGGGAATTCCCGGTTCGATGCGAACACAATCCAATTATTGTCTGGGGACCACGTGGCTATCGTGTCGTTCCAATTTCCGGTCGTTAGCCTGAACAAACCACCGCTTTCACCTTTCTCGGCGTCCATTATGTAAAGGTTTTTGGTACCGGACCGAGCAGAACGGAAAACAATCCGTTTGCCGTCAGGCGATGGCCACGGGAAGGCGTTGTTCTGGCCGGTAGTCGTTAGTTTTTTTACGGCGGTTGACGGATTGGGATCATCGACGTTGATGGCGAGAATATCGATCTGAGTTTTCCCTGGAACTAAGGCGGGGGCTGAGCTTGTGTAGACGATTCCCGATCGAATTGGATCCCAAACTGTTCCGAATCCCATTTGTGGGAGCAATTGACGCCGACCAGAACCGTCTGGCTTCACCACGAAAACGCCGGTGAAAGTGACGAAGGCGAATCGGTCACCTTGCGGCGAGAGAGAAGGGAACGCACCGTCGAATCTGAAGAGAGAGAGGTCACTCGAAGTTGTTTTGATGTTTTGGAGGATATTCCGAGGAGTTTTCCGTCCAGTTGCGTCGCCTCTGCAGCTATGGTATCCGACTCGGGACGAGTCCGGAGAGAGAAACGGGTTGAAATGGTGACTCTTCGGCGATACTAGACGAGTCAACTCGACGAACGCGTTCTTCTTCAAGTCGAAAAGCTCCACGTGGCGGATATCGCTTCCTGGCCTCCTCGTCGCCACCGCGATGAAGTTGTTGTTGTTCGGTGACGTGGCGGGTGTGAACGCGTGAATACCCGGTGGTGTGACTCGTTGAACCGTTACCGATTTGGTCGAAACCGGTCCGGTTTTGGGTAAAATCGCTCGGTACACGCTGATCCAGCCGTCGTCGCTTTTCCGGTGGAAATACAGAGTCCTTTCGTCGACCCAACTCGGCCACCCGCCTAGCTCGACAATCTTGACTCGCTGAGTCCCATCCCGAGTCAGGAAAACGTAGATATCCGTACTAAGCTCCTTCGCCGCAAGACTCCAGCCTTTCTCTCCGTACGAAGCCACGGCCGTCCAATTCCCAGACGGAGACGCCGCCGGTGAAAAATCCCCGATTCCAGGCGGTGTCAACCGCCGAGTCGCCCCAGTTTTTAACCCAGTAGAGTAGACGGCGGCCCAACTCGCCATGGGCTTACCCGGATCCTCGTGTGTCGAGACGTAAAGAAGATAGTCGTTGGTTAAAACCGGAGTGTCTTTCATCGAATTCAGAATCACGCCTTTCTGCTGCTTCGAAAACAATGGAACCTGAGCGCTAGTCCCAGAGTTATCACCGCGAACGATGTCGTATTGTAAGCTGGGCGTGCCGTCTCTCTCGGTGACGTAGAAGAGATTCATGAGATTCGGATCTTGCGGGTTTATCTTAGCATCTTTGGGAAGAAGGGATGTTAGTGCCGGCGAAGGAGAAGCGAAATAGCCGTTGTAGCTGATGGATTTGCTGTCGGTGAAACGGTGCTCGTTGGAAGGCGACGGAGGACTACGGGTCGTGTTCGTGTAGAGAGTGAAGATGTTGAATTCGAAAGTGGGCTTCCCCAGCGTTGTGAACAAGATGGTCGAGCCACTCGAAGCCTGAGGCTTCTTCGCTAAGGCTGACGATAAAGAGAGGAGGAAGAAGAAGAAGAAGAAGAAGAAGAAGAAGAGGAGAGTGGTGTTTTTGATTTCCATGGCGAAGTTAGATTGTTTGCGTTTGGGATATGGCAATTGGCGGGAACATTTTATAGTTGTGTGGTGTGGTGACGTGGATGATGCTGACACTTTGGTTGACTTAAGTGACCCTATATTTTTTTATCATTTCGGGATGTTTCTATTTTCTGTCTACTAATATAAGAGAAAAAATATCATTCACCTTTAAATTTTGACATAATTGTTTGATAAAAAGATACGAATTTCCGTTTTGGTTAAGATAAAATTAAAATTGATATGATATCACAATACTGATTTTTGTATTAGGAAATGGAAAAATATCAATGATGGTGATAGATGAGAAGGATACAAGAGCATTTAGATATTATCGGAAAGTAATGATTTGAGGCAAACAAAATCGAGGAATATTGATGGAACTTAGAAAACCACATTTACAACATGGCAAGAAAATATAGAAATTGATTCATTACATTTAAAATCAAAATTAGTGTGTCAATTATTAGACTATAAATTTATCATAGACAATCATTCATTACTGATACTGTATCAGTTAAAGTTAAATGTTATTACTTTCCATGTAAATCTAGATTTTGTAGGTATGATTTTTTTTCTCTAAATTTTAAATACATAAAAGAAGTTGGGGGAAAAATAAATAAAAGATCACACTCCAATTATTAGTGTCTAGTGAGGCGAAATCGTAGTTGTCTGTCTAGTTGTTTTCTTTGGATTTTTATGGTTTGAATATATTTTCGCACTACTTGACACTTGCTTGTGGTTTGGATCTTTCTTGCTACCACTTCTCTCCTTGTTGCCTTATTAGTCCACAACGTTCCCCTTCACACTTTCTTTTTAGTCCATCCACCCCTTTGAATTTCCTTCCCAACTTGTAATAGATATTTTTGATCTGTACATCTCACCAAAGTTGGTATTAAATTAATGAATTGTATAAAGTATAAACTAATAAGAAAAATAGAAAAAAAAAAATCTTAAAGTGATTCGTTTTCTTAAATGACGATTATAATTATTTTGAAGATGGCATTACTATTATTATTTAGGCTAGGCTATACAGATGATTATGAATGAACATAATCACAACTCCAGGGGAATAAAATTGACATCAGTGAATCATCTCTAATGCTGTAGCTATGATAACAAGAGTCGATATATATGTATATAAAAGAAAATCTATTGGGTTTTTGGGGCTATACACAATATCCCCCCATGTTTTTGTTGTGGGTTGGGTGTACATAAAGATGACAAGAACCGAGTTACAATGAATAGGAAAGAAGACAAGAAAACAAGACAAGACTCGAGGAAACTCATAGACGACTTATGTGTAGCGATAAGCACACAGTGACACAAACAAACATGTACCAAGTCTCTTCAAGTGTCTCTCATCTCTTAATCAACCATTGCTAGACGTAATCAGTCCCGTATCAAGCTCTACTGGAAGCACACTGTTCTCGAACCTGAAACGAAAGATTCAGGAGGCAACTAGATCCGAAACATGTGGGCTCAAGAGAGCTCCTCTTTGTTGAACTTGTTCCAAGCTTCCTGTTCAATGCAAAAATTGTATGCAGTTAATCAATAGGACAATCCAAACACTCTAGTATAAGGAATTTTGCTTGACGCTGAGATAAGCTCTGTGGATCTTTGAAACCATCAATATTCTTTCGTCAACTTTCATTTACAATAGATTCTACAAAGATAGATGTTCATGCAGATCCACTGAGAACATACCTTCAAAATGTCAAAAACCTTTTCGGCGATATACTTTTGTTCAAGGGTGGCTCCTTTCTGTTGAACTTTATCCGGATGGACATACAGTGTTGCCTTTCTATAGACTTTCTTGACTGCTGAAGAGGTGATCAAATCTGTCAGAGAAACGGTCTCCCAACCACATCCGGGCCAGAGTACCTGTCATCGTTCAAACAGAACAGAAGGAGCACATGATTAAACAGATGTAACAGGACATTTTACAATTTTGAATTATTTTAAAACTCACGATTTGCAAGGAAGATAGCAGCGCACGCATGTTTCCTTCTTTTCCAGTTGCCCAACGCCTTATCTCAGCATCAACAGTCTCAGAAATCCTCTGAAAAGCAGTATGGACAAGGAAACCGTCATTGGTAATATGGTATTTTGAACACAACAACAAGGAGAGTCTATGTAGATTTAGAGAAACAAAACAGCTAAAGGAAATTAGGTGTCAAAAACAGCATTATCATAATGAAGACTACCAAATCCCAAAAAGTTATTGTCCATAGATAAGCATTATGATGATAAATAATAAAATATAAATGTCAAGTAAAGCAGCACTCACAGTTCTCTGTTCTTGTTCAACGCGAGATTGATGATCACGGTTATTCATATCAGCTACAGCTTGTGCCTACATTTCAAAGACAATGAATAGTGTCAAATCATCTTGAACCAATCAAATACAAGCTGAACGATGATCATAGCAAAACTTAAACTAGACATTGGTTGCAGTATGCCAGTCGGTTATGAGTATCATCAATTTGATGAGAAAATAGGACCAGTAAATCAAATAAGCAAAGACCTGACTTCAGATAAATATTTCAACTGATTTAGCACATTCTCCAGGGATTAATTTTTTGATCGCAAGGGGGTACTTTTAAGCACAAGGAAAATTCATCATGGTTTTCCATATTATCATTTAAATTAATGAGATGTCATCATAAGTTGCAGAGGGAAAAAAGAGTCAAGGGTTGCACCAGAAGATTTCAAAAGAAAACCAAAAGAAGCACACATACCACACGGCTCTTTGTTCTCTGCTCACGATCCCATCTGGCCTTTCTTCGTTCTTCGCTTTCCCCTGGGATTTCCTCAAATTGTCTAAATATAGGATCCTCTGTAGAACAGGAAACATTTATAAGTAAGTTACCCCAGAGTAACAAATTGCAGGAAAAGACATGTTTTCACTAGATCTACCTCCAAAAAGTGCAGAAAAGTCATCCACCAGATTTGCTGGAGCAGAAGGAGGAGGCTTCTTTACACTTGAAACCCCATTAGGGGTCTTTTTTGGCACGTTGGATGCTTGCTTGCGAGTTGTCTACACACACAGAGTACATTTGATTATTCATAATAACATGTAAACTGGAACTTGGCAAAATATTGAAAGTCGTTCTTACTTCAGTTGTAGTCCGTGATTTTGGTACACTGCTGGACCGATGCCCAGAGCTGAAAAAGGTATCAAGATCATCTAGTCCAACATGGTTTTTCTTTGTCCCAGCATCTTCAGCTTCTCTGTATTTACTAGCAGCGTCAGAAGCCGAGGCACTACGTCGCATAGTACCCTTGGCAAAGTCTTCAAGTTCGTCTATTGAAGCCATTCCTGAGCTATTAACTGTGCAAATAATTCCTTGACTAGTTAGGCAACAATGTAAACAAAAGCACCAATTCAACATAATCTCAGGTTATCAAAGAGATTAACCTCTGTCCACTTTTTGTGTTGGTTTAGGCGGAGGCTTGAGTTTCGTAGAGGTCTGTGAGGTATTGGATGTTTTTTTCCCCTGAGAATTGACTGAAGCAGCAAATTCTTCTAGTGGATCAACAAACGGAGCTGAAGAAGAATGTGGTGCAGACATAGTTGATTCTAGAACCTCAAATGGATCAGCAGCAGCAAAGTTCGATACGGTAGTCTTGCTGAAAATTCAACCAAAAACCAGAAATTCAAACTACTATAACACCAAACAAAAACCCAACAATGCTTCATAATCTGATTACAAACCTGATAGTCGTCTGCGCACTTCCACCAAAACCGGGTAACAATTCATCATGAGCAGCAACATTTTTCTCCATACCCACAGAGCTGTTCTCGTTCCAGCTCTTCGATTTGGTTCCAAATCCACCCAACAAATCATCGACTTGAGCATATTGCTTCGTCGACGAAGGGAACGGCCCACCAAATAAATCATCATTGCTAACGTTAGCCGAGCTTTTAGACCCAGGCATGACACCAAACAAGTCATCAGCTTCAAAACCCTGCGCTGGAGAAGCGGATTTCTTCCCGGAATTCCCGAAATTGGAGAACAAATCGTCGTTCAAAGACGAATTACTATTACCGGAAGCTGCCTTGTTCAAATTCAACCCACCGAAAACATCAAAATCGCCGAACCCACTAGAATTCGCGCCATTCCTATTGTTGGAACTCGAAGGAAAGAAAATGTCGTCGCCATCGTACAAGGACGCTTTACCAGATTCCTTATTCGAAGAATACGACGTCGTTGCTGTTTTCGCATTCACACCAGAGCCTGGGCCAAAATTCCAGCTCTGATCGTTGTTAGGATTGACGGAACGCTTCAAGGCAGCCATTGGAGCAGATTTTCCTTGGGGCTTTATCCCATAACGCTCCGTGAGAACACCAAACTCGTCCATCTCGAGAGAGAGAAAAAGATAACAATCGATCTCCCACGAAATTGCTAAGATGAAAGCAAAAGACACCACTACTATCAGATCGATCCCGTGAAAAATCACGGATCAGAAATTCTGGAAATCGGAGAGCGAGAATTTGGAAAGAAACAATGGTCTCGTCGTCTCCTCTTTTTCTCTCTCTCTCTCTAGAAATTAATCTGAGAAAGAGGCACCGACGATAGAATGATAGATTACCCACAAATGAAATTGGAAATTGGTGGGTCCTCGACAGATGGCCTTTGCTTTTAAAATTCCCACCTTCCCTTTTTATGTTTCTCCTTCACAAATTTATCGTATTTTTCTTGATTTTTTCGGGGAAAAATATTCCACTACACTAATTATGTAAGATATTTTTATTTCTTCTTCTATGATATTACAGTCACATTACAGAACAATCTGACATAATTCGACCAACCTGTCCACCTACATTATTAGTTTTATATCATATGCATAAAAAATTTCTTTATACAACAATAAATCGAAACAAAAAAAATTTGAAACATTATTTGTAGAAAAAGGAAACAAAATAATCATAAAATTTCTTTTGCCATATCCACGCCCACATTCTATTTTTACAAATGACAAAAGAATTTTCGACTTTAGCAATCTATTATTGAGGTGGATAAAGAAAATGTGAATCAACTTCAAAGCTATGAGAAAATTACGGCCAAATCGAAACCAAACATTACATGTGCCAAACCTAAATGGAGCAGACTAATCCATTACAGCATCCCCTAAATTACCGATATTCAGAACTTCTATTGACAAAAACTTCAAAAACCTCTGCCTAATAATAATATGTACTTATATTTTTAGGAATCCAAAATTAGATTTAAATGACTTATTTACTCAACAAATCTGGGCTTTATAGGCCTCATTAGATAAGCAAGCGTACATAAGGCCCAGTTGTCTTATTATCACAAAACGGTGCGTTGATTGAACTTTGAAATGTGATTGGCAATGATATGCTCATTACATTCCAACAAACTTAATTCAATTTTTCTTGATGTCCTTTATACTGTATATAGGGGATGATTGGTAGGAGCTGTGGTTGCTCTACACAGCCCAAAATCTTTCTACAGCAATTTAAAATTACCAATCATGCTCTCATTCTGTCTCTTTCCATTTTTGAAACACAGAGCAATTTTTTATATTTATGGAAGTTCCGTGGCTTTGGAAAGCAATTTTTCTAGAGCACCAAATTAGGTGCTCTTAGAATTTTCTCTCTTCTCTTTCCTTATTATTTTTTCAATATTTATTTTTTAATCTATTATTTCTATATCTTATCTTTTCTGTTTTAATGCTATATTTAATGACACAATCTACAATAAGAAATCCTACAGCACTAAAATCTATATTTACAGCCAAAAATTCTATAGCGTAAAATTTACAGCAAAAAAATTAAAGCTACAGCTACATCCAATCAGGCCCATAGTTTCTCTAAAAAACATAACCACAGCTACAAATCGGACTCAAGCATAAGATACGGAAAATCCTAGGTTTCTTGATGTATGCAGTTGGAAGTATCCTTGAATCTTTTAGTGCCAAAACATCATGCACTTACAAATAAAACAAGAACAATAGTTTGCTTCTGTTCGGTTGTTTCTCCTGATGTTTGCAAAAGGGAGTGTTCTTTTAATTATTAAATCCAACTAAGTGTCAAATCATATCTAATCACGATATATTGGAATAACCGAATAAGATCCTTCTTTCATCTTTGATTCAGTGCCTTTTAGATTAGACTCAGCTTTGGAGAGAGCATGTATCGTGAGACCCTTGTTACCCATACATTTAAAGAGAAACAATTTACACTTTTTCAAAGATACATTTAAAACACCATCTTTGTTACCCATACCGTTTGTACTTGGTGCCATAATGCCATTTATGTGGACATGGAGACTCCTGCTCTCTCTATCTCTATATAAGACTTGTCGAAAACTGGATTTTTTCAGAAGATCTTTTTCTTTTCTGTTTGTGTGTGAGGATGGGTTTGATACATTCTCTTGTTTGGATAATCTGTTTTCTTCGTTTTTCCTCTCAGTTTGATGTCAGTGTTTTCAATGAGTCGGATTCCTTGTCGCCATCAAACAAACGAACTATTGTTTCTGCGGGAGGAGTATTCGAGCTTGTGAGAAGCTACGTTTGGGTTGCCAACAGAGACGAGCCTCTCAACAACTACAATAGAACCTTAGAAATATCTGAAGCAAAGCAACACTCGTTATCCGGGACCCATCTGATAACCGGATCGTGTGGTCAAGCTCAAGTTCTGGTTCAGGGTCTCCGATGGCAAAGCTGTTCGGTAACGGAAACTTTGTGCTGAGTAGTTCCAACGACGGAGATCCAGGAGCTCCGAGAGAGTCCGGTCGTTGACAGTAGACGACTCGCCAACATGATTTGAGCTATATTGGCGAGTTGTCTAGTGTCAGCGACCGAACTCTCTCGGAGTCTTTGCGCGGTTAAAACATCCATCAACCCACCATATCTTCTTCTATAAATTGTTTACCAGGTTTCATTCTCTAGCTAATTTATCATGTTTAAGCTTTTGTCTTTTTATTCAACTATCATCAAAACTTTGTTGCTTTTGTTACATAAATTTATTGGTTTTTCTTCTAATTTAATAGATTACGAATGTTATATGTTACATAAGTTTCCCAGTTATAGATTATCAGCTATATCATATCAACTGCCAAAATACAGCATTTTTTTCTAAAGATTCACTAAAATCAAATAAACAACTGCTTCAATATCCACATTAGGTACCAAATACTAAAATTAAGGTGGATGAGAAAATTAAGTCCAGTTGTCTTGTTATCACAAAACGGTGCGTTGATTGAACTTTGAAGTGTGATTGGCAATGATATAAGCTCATTACATTCCAACAAACATAATTCAATTCTTGTCTTCTTGATATACTTTCATATAGTTTCTCTAAGAACATAACCACAGCTACAAATCAAAGCCAAGCACAAGACACGGAAAATCCTAAGTTTCTTGATTCATGAAGTTAAAAGTATCCTTGAATCCTTTACTGCTAAAACATCATGCACTTACCCAATTCCCATCTTTGATTCAGTGCCTTTTAGATTTAGTCTCAGCTTTGGAGAGCATGTACCCTGAGACCTTGTTCATCTCGTATAACAGACCAGCAGAGAACACGAAACTGCAAAAAGAAGAACACTGGATAGCAAATCAGTCACAGTTTTTAGCCAGAGAGTTGTGAAATGATGTTAACAGTGACGATTGGTATAAATGGAGCAGAACTAGTGTGTTACCAGGTTGTAATACAAACACGATGCACCGTGCTAGCAGCGATAAGAGCTATGATTTCTGCAAGAATCACTGCCATGATAAAAAATGACTTTAGTAAATTGCAGAACTTGCTACGTATAACAACTGACAGATGAATTGAGAGATGACAATGAATTGGAAAAAAAAAACAGATCAAACCTACCTGAACCCCAGCTACTCTTCATGCCAGAAGATTCCTGGAAATTTCCGATGAACTGCAAGCAACGAAACCGCATCAATACAGATCGTCAGCAAACAATGAAGAGGAAGTTGGTAACGCAAGAACGTAACTTGATTTGAATGTTTTAAGATTGAGAACCAAAGATCACAAATTTGCAAAAAGGATCGAGTTTAAAATAGACTACAAGGAGAAAGTCAGAGAAAAGTGTATTGCAGCTAAGGAAACTTACAGTCAGAGAAAACAGAAAGAGGAGGGAGCTAGTGAATCCTCCGAGGATCGTGAACAGCTCAGAAGAAGCTAATTTCCCTCGGTACACTTCTTGAAGCGAGAGGACCACTGTAAACAGAAGAATAGAGCCGAGCATGGATGATCCAGCTCCCGCCATTGATTCTAACTTTCTCCTATACCCAACGGGAAATGAAAGATTGTGTCAGGAAACAAAGCGAGAAACGGGTCAACATTCACATTCGAAACAGGAATCTAAATCGAAAAAATCTGTATGATCCGAGAATGTGATTGATTACCTTGAAACCCCTAGCAAATCGGAATTTACCCGTCTTCTCGTCACTTCCTCAGTTCCACGGTAAATCGGAATGAAGAAGACGACGACGACGATTCAGAGGGTAAGGGAAAAAAATAAGATTTGGAAATGTGAGAGTAAAACATGACCATAAACTCCTTACTTTATCGTCCATATTACATATTTACCCTCATGACCGCGTGATATCGTTTCAATTGTTCATCGGAGCTTCGAATCGCTGGTGATGGAGCCACCGGAGTGTCCGGTGTGTCTACAGTCTTTCGACGGCGATTGCACAGTTCCTCGCGTGCTCAATTGCGGCCACTCGGCGTGCGAGGAGTGTCTGAGGAGCCTTCCCAAGAAGTTCCCGGACACAATCCGATGTCCGGCGTGCACAGTTCTCGTCAAGTTTCCACCTCAGGGACCATCAGCTCTCCCCAAAAACATCGATCTCCTCAGACTGTTCCCTTCAAGCTCGCAGAATTCGCTGGAACCTGGCCGGAATTCGAAAAAACCCGTTGAATTTGTCACTCGATCATGGCCCGACGACTTCTACGCCATTTGGAAGGACCGTATCCTCCTGCACGACGCCGTTTCCGTGGAGGGAGAGAGTAAAGGTAGTGATTTTTCTTTGAGTGGACGTCTTGGGGATGATTCGAAGGTGAGTCTTTTACGGGTTGCGTCGTTCGATCATGATGATTGCGATTCTGTCCTCAAGTATAGTTATGTACAGAGGATGATGAATTGTTTGTGGGATATGGGAGAGGAGGAAAGAGATGAGCTTGATACGATCATCTCTGTTAGACAGAGAGGTGTTTCTAAAGTTTTTGGCTTGTGGGGTGATTTGAAGAATGGGATTTTGTATTTAGTGGGCGAGAAGCTTGGTAGCTTTTCGTTGGAGGAATTCGAGAATCTCACTGAAGATGATTCTTTACGTTTAGCTATGATTGGTATGCAAATATGTGAGGCACTTCTCGGTCTGCACAAGGAACGGGTGATCACAGGCTGTTTGAGCGTTTCTTGTGTGAAGTTTGACGAATTTGAGAATGCGTATGTTGATTTGATTGAGTGGATGGAAACTGGAAGGAATGTGCATCGACTTATCGTTGAAGAAACAGTTGGTGCTCGAGAAATGGGATTGATTTTGGTTCGATTGCTACAGAAGGGGATTTTTGTGAGCTTAGAGGTGTTGTTTGGATTGTTGAAAGAAGATAATATGTTGATAAAAGATGCCAGCTCAAAGTATTTGGTTTCGTATAGCTCTGATGTGTGGCCAGTTTGTTTGCTTCTTCTCAAGCTTCATCTTAGAAAACGGTTTCCTGAGGAGTTGATTGAAAGTTTAAATTGTGTGGATGCAAAAGGATGTGAAGAGGGGATTGAGGATTTCTTGGTGTTGTACACATGTATTGCAGATAAATTAAGTTCTATGATAGAATCCGAACCTGGAGGGAAGTTTAAACCGATGATTGAAATTCTTTGCCAGTGTTGCAGTCTTGATCCTCAGGCACGTCCAGGTTTGACTGATCTATGGAAATGCATCAGGGAGGTGGTTGTGTCTCCTAGGCTCAGTTCTGTGATTGGATTGAAGAAGGCTATCTCTGGAAAAGGGAAAGACTATAGGTTGGTTCTAGGTGAGTTATGCCGTCTGGTAGAAGTGGGATCCAAAGAAGTGGAAGAAGAGTTGCCTGGAACGGAGAATGGCAGTGACGCAGGGGAGAGTAAAGTTGACACAGATTTTGTTGGGAGACTCTCAAAAGGAAAGATGAAATCTAAAGACATGCGGGGACACCAAGACTCTGTCACGGGTTTAGCGCTTGGAGGTACACCACACCTTCTTCTAATACTATATTCTCTTTTGTAAATGGTAGAAAGGTACTCAATTTTCCTGCCAAGAGTATCGTTTAGATGGGGTGCATCTTCATATTCTGAGTTGTTCCTTTTCTCTGTGTAGGTGGGTTTCTGTTCAGCTGCTCACTTGATAAAACTATCCTTGTATGGTCTCTGAAGGTAAAGTTAGTGATAGTCCTTTATAGGTTTTTGTTCATGTTCTTCCCATTTGATAACATCTCTCTGATAGTTGTATGAACTAACTCCCTATCAAGAGTAGTATAACAAGTCCTAATTCTAGCTATATGGATCTTCATGCGAAACATGCTATATACAGGACTTCTCCCATGTGCATACATTCAAAGGCCATGAGGATAAAGTAATGGCTTTGATACACATTGATGGAGCAGAGCCAGTTTGTGTCAGTGGCGACGGTGGAGGAGGTATCTTCGTATGGAGCACTACTTTCCCTCTGGCAGAACAGCCGCTAAGGAAGTGGTATGAGCCAAAAGACTGGAAATATACTGGCATTCATGCATTGGCATACTCAGAATATGGGCATGTGTATAGTGGTAGTGGAGATAACACTATCAAAGCTTGGTCATTACAAGTAAGTTAATTTTCCTGTACACTTAAAGCTTCTCCTGATAAGATTCTCATCATATTATTTGAAGAAGTTTCTTGTTTTTCCAGGATGGAAGCTTGGTTTGCACTATGACTGGTCATAAATCTGTAGTTTCAACGCTTGTTGTGCAAAATGGAGTACTATACAGCGGAAGTTGGGATGGAACCGTTAGATTGTGGAGTCTAAGTGACCATAGTTTTTTGACGGTGCTGGGGGAAGAGACTCAAGGTATTGGAAGATCTATTCTCTCTCTAGCTGCAGACGAACAAACTTTAGTGGCAGCTTATCAAAACGGAGATATACAGGTTTTAATATCTCTTAAAAAACATTTTGCTCAGCTTTGCTTCATTTCAGTCTTATTCTCAGTCTCTAAACCTGGGCTCTTCTGATTCTGTTATCAGATATGGAGGGATGATACATTGATGAAGTCCATGCAAGTACAGAGTGGTGCAATTCTCAGCGTTGCCGTGAATGGTAAATGGCTTTTCACTGGAGGTTGGGACAAAACCGTCAATGTGCAGGTAATGACGAATAATCCACAGAGCTGATCAAAAGCGATCCATTATCTGATGTTGGAGTGTCCTCTTAACATCTGTTTCGGAATACCGGTTTGTAGGAATTGTCAGGAGATGAGATGTCACTTGACTGTACTCATGTTGGATCAATCCCGAGTTCATCAGTAATCACATCATTGTTATATTGGGAAGGCAAGCTCTTTGCAGCGTTTGCAGATAAAACTATCAAGGTGGTAGCCTCGCGTTCGTTTTTTTTTCTTCTCTTTCTTGCTTTCTTAACTACCTCTGTTGTTGAGAATTGTCTGTGACGAGAGTTTTGTCTCCATTTTCCAGGTATACTACAATGGACGCTAACAAAAGCTACAGTTTTTCTCTTCTTGTTCCTGAAGATTACATTCTCTTCAAAAGATGTTGTGTATATCTATATATAAATCATGTGTGTATGAATCCTTCGTGTATATATGTGATTCGCAATTTGCTTATTTCTTTTAGAAATTGCTTATACAATACTTTGAGATCAATAGACACAAGAAGATGATATTTTATAAAGTTGAGTGAAATATTGCAAAAGACTAAAATTTTCAGGGACTTAATGTTAATTAATTAAAACTCTTCAAAATTGGAGCCAACCAGCAATTTAGCGCCACCCATCGGTGTAAAAACGTTTTCAGGGGACGAGAAATGAGACACAGAGCTTCCTTCATTCATGGATGATTGATCACGATAACAACAAAATTTCTGTAGCAAAGCAAGTTTTGTGAATATGGGCACTGTTTTGAATCTTCTGAACCCTAGTACATACCATCCAGCTCCTTGCCTGCTGTCTCGAAGTAATAAGCTTCCATGGACAAAACCTTTATCTGGTGTTTTTTTCTCTCCTTCTATCACGCCGATTCAGAGATGTCGCTTTGTTCGAAGAAGCTGTGTCTCTGCTTCCGTAATGGTAAGAAGATGAGACTAACATCTAACAGTACTTGTTGCACACCAACTGTTCGACCATTTGTCACTCTCTGTTTTTCTTTGTTGTTTCTGGTGGCTCTTTATTCTCAATGAGAGTTTTTCTGGTGAATGTTTGTATTTTGTTTCCGAATCTTCTACTCATTTTATATTCCTATCCATATTTTAGGGGAATTTGGGTCGTTTGAAGAGGAATTTGCAAAATGTTACGAGCATGAACTATTGGGTTGTGCGGGACTACTATCGTCTTGTGGATTCTGTCAATTCCCTCGAACTACAGATTAAAAGCCTTTCCGATGAACAGGTTCAACTTATTCTTCACTGCTTGAGACCCTTTTTTGTTATTCACATTGGTATGAGTCTTTAATGTAGTTTGGTTTTCTGTTTGTTTACCTCCTTAGCTGAAAGCAAAAACTGCAGAATTTCGGGAAAGGTTAGCGCGAGGAGAGTCCCTAGCAGATATGCAAGCTGGTTTGATCAAAACCTTACGTTGGATTTTACTTTATTTTCTCTGAAGATTGTTATTTTGTTTTGATAAATCTTTGCAATTGCTTTCTCACTTTTTGTTTCCTGTATGTGATTCCCTGTTCTAGAGGCGTTTGCTGTTGTTCGTGAAGCTGCAAAGAGAACAATTGGAATGCGTCATTTTGATGTGCAGGTCCTGTCTATTTCTTAAAACTCTTAAACTGTACTTCATACAATTTCTTGGGTGCATCTCTATCAGTTTGAAGATAGATTGTTAGGTAAAATTGTGGTTTTTGTTGCATCAGATAATTGGTGGAGGAGTGCTTCATGATGGATCCATTGCAGAGATGAAGACAGGTGAAGGGAAAACACTCGTCTCTACCTTAGCTGCATATCTAAATGCATTAACTGGCGAGGGCGTTCATGGTATGTTGTCTGCGATATATTGCTTAGTTGCCGCAATTTTAGCACAATAGTGATAACCAAATGATATACCTATGAAAAACGTATCATGAAACATCTACCTAAAGCTGTTGGTATTGATTTTCTGGTGCCAGTGGTTACTGTGAATGATTACCTGGCCCAGCGTGATGCAGAATGGATGGGCCGTGTTCACCGCTTCCTAGGTCTTTCAGTTGGTCTCATTCAGGTAGGTTTCACAGGCTCCGTTTGCATTCAACTTTTTGAATTTCAAAGCAGAAAACTTATGGCATTTTCGTCTACAACTGATTGTACAATTAGAGAGGAATGAAAGCTGAAGAGAGAAAAGTCAATTATAGCTGTGATATAACATACACCAATAACTCGGCAAGTGTTTCATTCATATCTGTTCTATTACTTGGGTTATACTTTATTGTTTTTTTATATTTCTAATCTTCTTCTACTAACATTTGTGCATATCTCAGGAGCTTGGATTTGATTATCTGCGAGATAACCTAACTTCAAACAGTGAACAACTTGTGATGAGATGGTAGATCCCATAAAATTATTCACTCCTCAGTTTTGTTCAATAGTGACAATTTATAATCTACAGGCCAAAACCATTTCACTTTGCAATAGTTGACGAAGTGGATTCAGTCCTCATTGATGAAGGCAGGAATCCTTTGTTAATAAGTGGTGAGGTAATGCCGTTCATTTTGATAAGCTTTAAAAAATAATTCTTAGGAGATTTAGGCATTTGGATTGTAGTCTGAATCTGGTTAAGAAACAAAGCAATATCATTGGGACCTAATTCAAATATTGATGGAGTTCTTTCTGTTGTGCTTGTATCACAGGCTAATGAAAATGCAGCGCGATATCCAGTTGCTGCCAAAGTGGCTGAACTTCTCGTAAAAGATATTGTGAGTTTTAGCATCTTCTTTTCTGTCAATTTATTGCGACCATTTTTCTTTGAGGAACCCTTTTTTTATTAATGGCATTTGAAAATCTTGTTAATAGCATTACAAAGCTGAATTGAAAGAGAACTCAGTGGAACTCAAGGAAGAAGGTATAACTCTTGCTGAAATGGCTCTTGAGACGGGTGACTTATGGGACGAAAATGATCCATGGGCAAGGTATCTACTTTTTACTATCACTGATATTCTTATGTTCCAAATGGTGATGTAAGAGTTCGGCGGTTGGCAGTTATTAGTAAGGCTTTTACAAGGGGAATATTTAGATTTGGTGATAATGGTTACAAAAGTTAAAATATTGGCACATGTTTGGGGGAGATATGAGGTAAAATTATGTACAGGTTTTTAAAAGTCTCATGGTTAAACAAAGAATAGTGGCAACAGTAGAAATTCTCTTTGTGAAAATCTTTCAGTGAGAAACTGCTTCCTGATCTTATTACATATTGTGGTTCTTTTTTTTTCCTGTTATGAACTAGTTTACTGAAAATTTCTGATTAATGCAGGTTTGTTATGAATGCTTTAAAAGCTAAAGAATTTTACAAGCGTGATGTCCAATATATTGTGAGAAATGGGAAAGCACTTATAATTAATGAGGTATGGCTCCAACTGTAGTCATAGTTTCATCTCATAAGATTGATGTGAGATGGCTAGTAATTAATGTAGTTTCATCTGTATTATTATATATTATTTAAAACAGTATGAGAGTTTAAGCATCTAAAGATTTCAAATCTTTTCAGCTGACTGGAAGAGTTGAAGAGAAAAGGAGATGGTCTGAAGGAGTCCACCAGGCTGTGGAGGCTAAAGAAGGTCTCGAAATTCAGGTTTGTCACTCAGACTCTATAACTTGTGTATAAAGCTATGCCTCCGAAATTTCATGCTCACCTAAACTCTTTAATATAGGCTGATTCAATTGTCGTGGCCCAAATCACCTATCAGTCACTCTTTAAACTCTATCCGAAGCTCTCCGGGATGACTGGGACAGCAAAAACAGAAGTACGTACTGGGGTTACTTTGATCCTCCTCCTTAATCTGTCTCAAAGCTATCGTATTCTTGACCTCACAAGGCAGTTTGAGACACGTGTTTTTTCAACTTCTTGCAGGAAAAAGAATTTTTGAGAATGTTCCAAATACCTGTTATTGAAGTTCCTACCAATCTGTCAAATATTCGAATCGATCTACCCATACAAGCTTTTGCAGTAAGCATCCTAAAAACATACATGTGTGTTTGCATCTTTCATCTCATTGCTAAAATTTAAACTTAATTTTCCTTGGTCATCCATCTGCTATGATGTAGACTGCTCGAGGTAAATGGGAATATGTTCGTCGAGAAGTTGAAGATATGTTCGGACAAGGTCGACCAGTTTTAGTAGGAACAACAAGGTAGCTCCATGTGCTTAAACCACTTCAGCATCTTTTGCACACATAGACCTCGTTAATTATTCAAGATTTTAAAAATATATCGCATGTACTGGTGTCAGTTGAAAGTATATAGAGGAAAGATTTAGGCTCGCTTTTCTTTATTTAGCGTGTGGTTTATGTTGGCAGAACTAATAATGAACCAAGGAAAACTACACAGTAACACTTGTTTCTTTGATAAAAACTCATTTTACTTTACCACTATTAACAAACAAGCTGGTGTCATTTTGCAGTGTGCAGAATTCTGAATATTTATCAGCACTGCTGAAAGAATGGGGTATTCCTCATAATGTCCTGAATGCACGACCCAAGGTGGATCTGAAACTTTCTGCAAAGTACAACCAACATAGCATTCAAATGATATCAGCTAGTTCTAATATTCTGTGCTTTACTTCATTCAGTATGCTGCCAGGGAAGCTGATTTTATAGCCCAAGCAGGAAGAAAATATGCCATCACCATTTCTACAAATATGGCTGGCAGGGGTACTGACATTATTCTGGGTGGAAATCCAAAGGTATTTTTGATAACATCCTTAACTTTCCACCTTTTCTAGATGTTTGTGTGATCCGCAGTTGATTGAGTGTCTCCTTGATGACCTAAACTTCTAAGGCCATCTAACTGTGTATCTTTTCGTCATGTTCTTGTTGTTGTTATCTTCCAGATGCTTGCAAGGGAAATTATAGAGGATAGCATCCTTTCATATCTAACAAACGAAGTTTTGGCAGATAATATTGATGATAATGAATTATCACAGAAGGTATAAGTTGCAAAAGACTTCATATTATGAGCTCTTTACATAGGTCAGATGATCATTTGTTGATTCTTCTATCTCATTGTAGAATAACTGAACTTTCCTTTGAATGACGTCAGGTGTTGTCAAAAATAAAAGTGGGACCGTCGTCATTAGCTTTGCTAGCCAGAGCTTCTCTTTTGGGTTTGCTTCGCAACTTTCAACACTCGTTTTTAGGAACTTGTGCACATACTCTATGGATTATGGTTGATGTTTCCTTACTTGATATCTTCTTTATATTCAATTGACACAGCAAAGTATGTTGGCAAAAGTGAAAATAAAAGCTGGACAAGGAAAAAGGCAAAGTCCGTGGTCACAGAATCTTTAGAGAAAA